CAGCAGTTACAACTATGGAATTATAAGAATTTGTCATTAATTATGCAAATTAGGTCCTCATTTACATAATCTTTATCCTCAGATGTTTTTCTCGTTCTCAAGTAGATGTCACAAGTGTTTCATAGTTCTATTATCGAACAAAGCAGATTTATAGAATTTCCTCATTAATTATGCAAATTAGCTCCTGATTTGCATAATTGCCATCTGATTATGTCAAGCATCACTTCAACTACCTACATACCAAAAATCACGACAATACGTCAACCGGTTCTTGAGTTATCGTCCTTCAATTTTTTTTCAACAAATGCTCCTGCAGTTCCAGAACAAGGCGCTAGGGGACCCAAACTCGTGTCACTTCTTCCCTACCCCAAGAGCTATCTACCAACCAAAATTCGTGACCCTAGCATGTCCAGATCGAGAGATATCAAAACCGGAAGTTCAACTGCAGTAACTAAGAAAGCCGCCAGGGGGCCCAAAATCTAATCATTTCTAGGTCTCATGAAGACCTACCCACCTACCAAGTTTCATTTCAATCCATCCACTGCTTCTCGAGTTATCTTGCTAAACCACACACACACAAACACACACACACACACACAAACGCTACTGAAAACATAACCTTCTTGGCGAAGGTAATAAAAGCTGAGAAAATAGAAATCCGGGCAAAAATGCATAAAAAGACGTCTCAAACCTCCGCTTGGAAAGCAGAGAATGAGCCTATGACAGCGAGACAAGAGATGTCCAAAGCACTGCAGTACCGCGGAAAGCTGCCAAGAGGCCAAAATCTAAACATTTTTAGTTTTGGTCACAACCTCCAAAATATCATCATGATAAGAGCCACCGACGACTTTTCGAGTTATGCTGTTCATAAGCACACACGCAGACAAACATGGTCCAGAAAACACAACCTTCTGGGCGAAGTGAATAAGTGTGGTGTTCCTGCTAAGTCGCAATCCTACTAATATCATGTAATGTAATTGACCAAATGGCGCAAGCTTTTTTTTTACCGCAAATTGGAAACAATTCCACCGCTGTCATATGCTGACAAATTGGGTTCAAAAGCTCAGAAGTAATTCATGGATATAATCAGGATAGGCTTTCACTGTTGGCGCGGTCGTGAAATATTAATGACCTAAAAGTATTGGATTTGTAATAGAGAAAATTGTAACTATTCATCTGAAATGGATATATGGAGAACTCCGTTACAAGCACTAAGCACAGGTTATGTATGAGTTGGCAACCATGCAAGTGTGTTAGGCTAGGGTGATAATGTAACGAGAATTTCCGATGAGAAAGCTAACGATTTTCTGTGTTTTATGACAAACTTTGACAATTATTCTCTTCGTCTTATACACAGTAACTTGTGTATGAGGTATGTGTCATGGAAGTGTTCTTGTCGAGACATGAGAAAGAGATTGCCGGGGTATAGGTGTGATTGCTTTAGACATTTTCGGCTCTTCTAGCTAGCTATAGACACATTTTCTACCTCTATATTACGTATTTCACCCATAAAAGATTAGATTAGACATTTTACTCAAATGATGTTTAGTTCAGAAATGAATAGCCACCCAATCATCAGCATGCACAAACAGTTCACCACTTCACAAACATTTCTAGTCCTCTAAAAACGGGTGATGGTACTGTCAAAATATTCGGATTTACGGTTTTGGGATCAAAGACAGTGCAAACCCTAGTTTTGCACAAGGCGGTATGAAAAATCTACGAAACAACATTTGTTAACCTCCTTCTTTCAATTTGCTGCAGAGAAATCTCTATAAAAACTTCTGCCTTGTCTCTTGTCTCCACCGAAGATCATATTGGATTCTGTTGGAGATATATTTTACCGAGATGTATTTACCAATTGGCGGATGGGCCAGGAAGACAAAGCGCGGCCTAGCGGAATTTGATGTACTGCAGCCACCTAAAGTGTACATATAATGACATACATTCGTGTGCTGTTTATACCACATCACGCACAATAATAAACCTCAAACTGTGTACACATTAGTTAACTTTTTAATCGCTACTTTCATCATGATAATATAATGTACAGAAGCATTCAGATAGAACAGTTAAAAACATCTGGCAAACAAAAACTTTCAAACTACCAAGCACCATCTTCTTTCTTCAGGAGCAAACTCCTTGTCGATCACCTATAAGTATAAGGCACTCCTACTAACCTTTCACAACCAGTCCCTTGTCAATCAAACATAGCACAACTGGGCAGAGAAATTTCATCAAACTATCCTACATGTAAGCTAACAGGATCACATTTCATTTAACTGTCAAAATCCAGATTTGCAAGGTCTCAAGTAGAAGCTTTGTATCTCAAATCGTGGAAAAGTTACAAAATTGGTGTTTCAGGTATCAAACAATGTGATGCTTGTGTTATAAAATTGATTTATAATGTAGCTATGGTTTGATATAGATGTTTTTTCAGGTTGAAATATTGCAGGTAGCCGTGTTTGTCAGTGCATCACCCAGTCAGCTTCATGCATGATACTTGCTGGTATGAATGAAGTAATGATAACATTTCCCATCTCACAGCTACTATACAGGGTGACCAAGAAAACACTTACATGTAGGGTATCATTACAAATTTGTGAAGTGCATCACTATATATATATATAGTACATTTTCCAAAAAGTAGACATAATATGGTTTCTATTGATACCCAAGTGACATACCTCCAACTATGTATCATGGATTATGCCCATGTACTGCCCATTTTTATGTGTTCAAATTTCTGGTGTTGGAGTCATTGATCTGAACACAAAGTTTGACCAAATGAGTTTGGACATACACGTATGGGTGATGCGATAAATAACTGGAGGTATGCTACTAGTTATATCAATAGAACACATATTAGTTAGTTCTACTTATTGGAAAATCATACATGTAGTTGTGTGTAGTTATAAACAACTTCAAAGTTGTGTTTAGTTTTTTCTGGATTACCCTGTTCATCAACATTCTGCCTATGTAAAACTGGTATACATGAAAGCAACAGTGCAGCCATATTACAAAACAGTTACATGGAAGTACATGTATAACACTTTAACAAGTCCTAGTACAAAATCAACTACAATGTTAAAATGATGCCCTGACTTGACCGGCCTAGGTGGGGTGAAATTTATGTTAATGTCAATGTTAGGTATACAGCATTTTATACACACCTTGGATAAATGACAATTCCTGTACAAAGTTGGTTACTTAGGTGTCATATCAAAAATCATGATAGTATTACCATACATTTATAATATTTGCTTTCACTATTTACACCACAGATGTGGGGTCAAAGATTACATAATTATTCATGTTTGCTATAATGTGATATATATCCCCACTCGTACATTACTTGATTCCCTTCACACTGATTGGTTATACTTCCATTGTTTTAACTAATGTTTCAGTCATTGAACATGATTGCCCTGTCTTTCTTCATGCAAACCTAAACTTACAAGTTACAATCTGCTGATTCTCCCTTTCAATACATGTTAGAAACAAGTTGCCAACCTCCACTGTCTTCCATTGCTTTGTAAAATTTGCCTCTGTACTGACTTAGAACATGCTGGGAGCTTACAATGTATACCTGTATGTGTATGTGTAATGTACTATACAGAAAAGTTACTCATGACTTGAAACATCAGAAGACACAACGTAAATACACAAGAACCTGTTACACATATAAAACTCACAACAGCAATCCTGACTTTTCTTTCACAGTAACTTCTGTACTTGTATTTGGAATTGAAGCACATCAGCAGAACGTACTGCACCTGTGCAAAACCAAAGGGATTTTGTTGCATGTTTGGTCAGCATTGCATCAAGAGTTCTGCCCGTTGCAAACGATATCTTTTCCAACACAACTATAGGCGGGATGTCGTCCTTAAATACGACATTGAAAGAGATGTTCTGCACAAGTGCTATTCACAATAAAAGTTTTGCGCAGGTGCAGTACGTTCTGCCTCTGCTTCTTATTCATGATAGGGAAGGTTAGATCAGAGCAACACAGCAATATCTAAAGCATAACAGATAACTTCAGCTTGGGCTGAATAATCATTAACTCTCTGTCACACCACAAGGTCTGCAGCAGTATTTACATACCCAGAGTCTGAACATCTCTCAACTCATTCATAAATGGGGTGGACAAGGGGAAGGTTTATCATGGAGATTTGTGTTTATCATGGTAAAAAAACGGGGAAGGGAAGGCTACTTTCAAACTTCCCTGGAGCCCATTATTTTTAATACATAATTAACTCTAACAGTTTTCTTAAAAAGCTGTCTCACACAACTGTGATTTGAGCAATTATTCATTTACTACTGATTACAACTTCTATAAGTCTATAAATTGTCTTCAACATTTCATTTCTGACCAGAAATGTGTAATTGTTGCCACATGACTGGTCCTGCATCTTGGGTGTACATGATACTTTTTGAAGGGTAGGCTTCAGTACAAACCAAACAGAGATATTTCCAGCCCTGCAAATCTGCATAAGGTCACAAGCAGATTGGCAGATTTGAATACCATAAATTTCAACTTCCATTGTACACATGTACATGTATGAATAAAACAAATGAAATTTCAAACATACATGTGCATATAATAAGATATAAAATGTTTACATCAGTGACAGGGAATAAAATCTGCAGCAAAATTCGAGTGACCACATGCATAATGCATGTACATGTAGCAGTGCATTTCCCTGCATCAGTCTGATTGAAACAGTGGGATGATATTCGATATTGCAATACAGATCAATGTTATGTTTGTCACTAGAAGCAATATATGAACTATCACCCTCCAACTACCACAATCCAAATATACTATTCACCTTTTGTTACAGTTTGTTCTTGAGTCTGTGAGTAGGTGTAAGAAACTGCCTGTAATTCTAGGAAGCCACTATTTTGTTACACAAAGTGTTCATGTAAATGTATCTGCCATTGGTGTTGTCAAGAGTAACTGTGTGTTTTAGACAGTAAACATGTACAGTGCTTATGAAACAAGTTTTAACTGTAATTTCTAATGCAAGAAATTCGACTTACCCAACTTTTCAACTGTTCAACTCCTTTTTCTGTCAAGGAATGAGCAATCCCCTGCTTCTGTGATGCCATGTCATGCAGATGACATGGCTTGGTGAGCAGTGAATCGTGAGTTGCAGAAAGTTTGTGGTACCCCCATATTTGTTGTGGGAAGTGTGGAGATTTCTTGAGGACATTGTGTTGAGATTTCTTATGTTGGAAATCACAGTTCAAACTTGTTTCATAATGACTTCTACCAAGACAGATAAACTTTCAAGCTTTGTACAGTACTTGGTATTGTATTATATAGCCTGGCCTAGAGGAACCAAGTTTAGCATTACCCATGTTTGTGCTTGTATCATACTGATACAAGTCAGATTTTTCCCCCAGCTTGTCCATCTGTACTACTTCTAAGAATTATAACAAGTTTGGAAAAAGCTTTAAAATACCACAGTAAGCCAGTATGATTTTTCTGGATTGCAATAAAATGCACAATCATGCATGTAGGACCAGTACTTGAGGTTGAAAGACCTGGCCAATTTTAGTTGATAGAATGATGCTATTTTATGGTCATAAACATTATATTACTGCACAGCTTGTACTTGACAGAAATTTCCCTGGAAGATTGTTGTACACTTACATTTTAAGGAATGAGGGCTGGTCACATTTGTGCAGAATGGCAGAAATTAGCCTAATTTGTCCTTGTGCTAGTGTAGTCAGCTGTACATGTAGTGACATCCAAGATATTACAGAAAATGTTATTGTCATAATGATTCTATACCACATTTGGAAGCATATCTGGACTATTTACAATGTACATGTACCAGGCCAACAAATACATTGTCAAGTACATAGAGCATCAATGTTTGTAAATGTATTCACTGGTAAAAAAAAAAAAAAGATCCTGAAGTACCTTTGGAGTTTAGAGGCATTACTTGCTCTTCCCTGTTCAGCTGTTAAGACTCTTATGATAACATGTACTTTCTTCATCTTTACTTGAATGTGCACAAGATAAAAGTGTGTGGATGCAAGTATAAACATTGTAAATATTCTTGACCCAAGACCATAACATTACAAGTTTACCTACCATGGAACTGTCATGTGTTAGCACATACCAAACATTTCCATTATCCTACATTTGTATCTGTCAGCAAACTGGACTGCAGGTGTGCGTAAAGTTGTCAGAGGTCAGAAGTCATGGTCTATGGAAGCGGGTCAGGTGCCTGCTCTCTTCATGTACCTCCATCTCTGAGCTTTTGAAGTCATTGAGCTCTTTCCTAATATCAGCCTGAAATAAAAATGACAAAACATCAATATCAATCTGAAATTAAACTAGAAAAGTAACATTTGCCTTCATATGATCATCCCCTCCAACTTGCTACATCATCTGGATGTCCAGAACCAGTTACCATGGTGATAGCCATCTGGTCACGGATCTTTTTTGCTTGGAGTAGAAAATGAGAAAAACAATATGTTTTCCTTCTGCAAAGGTAAACATAATGACTGTCCTCTTTGAAAGCTTACTTACTATAAAATCAGACTAAATCTTATGTAATTAAAAGACATTACCAATACGAACACCTCCTCTGGCTTGTGAACCTACCTTGTCTTTTGGAGTTAGTCTAGTCCAGGGTTTGTCTGCTCTTCTGTCATAGTCTTGGGCCTCAGCCACCTCCACATAGTCATTAAATGTCAGGATCGCCCTTTGGCGGAGCTCCTCAACTGTGGGCCGGAAGCTCAACTTAAAAAAAAGCAACAACAAACAATTAAAAGTCTTCTTTCTGGCCGAATAGACGACTTCTGTGTGAAGATTCCTGATTGTTCCTCTGGTAAAGAACTACAAGGAATACTGATCTGGTTGACAATTGGTTACCTTACATATCTAGGACAGTTTAAAGGTATTTTAATTGACAGACATGCACAAGTTTGACATGCAGAGCTAGACTACATTTGTGCAAATGTGCTTCCATGAGCTAGATATTTGCCTGGCCAGGTACAAATTGTTTTTAATGATTCAAACGAAGAATGGAAATGCTACGATACAAGAGTCATTAAGTAAAATACTAGCATGAATTCTGACTTCACTGCAAAGTTTGCAGAACTGTGTTTCATACCTTCCTGGTTAGTGTTCTCTTCTTCTCCTGCATTTCCTGACGAGCTTCCTCTTCATTCTTTACTGTGGGTCAGATGAAAGAAGATATTAAATTCAAATAAAAGGAACCAATGGAGACAACCTATAAGCTGACTGATACAAATCAGGTTTTGGGATGCTATGAATTAGTAATAAGAAAAATCAACCTTTCAGTATTCCCCTCTGCTGCAGCTCCTCAGCTGTTGGTCTGAGGCTCAGCCGTCTGCAAGAACAGAACAAGACTTACAGTAAGTCCATGGTCAACCTCATAACACAGTCAGATTAATAAAAAGCAAAGTTGGACTTCATGGTGCAGTGAGTAGTTCAGGCTAGGTGAAGACAACTTGGAACTGTTACAGACATATTCTTAAGAAGATTTGAAATGCTGTAACTGCACACAGAAGTTTTTTAAAAGTTGTCTATATAAAATCTTTTACCTCCTAACTAGAATATTTGTCTGCCCTACCTGTTGAGCTTAGTTCCGACGACCTCCCTGTTCTCCTGCCTCTCCTTGTCGGTGTGACTGGGGATGATGTTCTTCTCGATCAGCTCCCTGCGGGTGGGACGTTGGCTCAGCTTCAGGGCCAGGCTGTCTTTCCTCGCCACCTTGGCTGCCAGACCTGACCCTACAGGGGCAATGGCAGGAAAACTACACTTACCAACATGCTTCTCCCTAATAATGACTCTTTGAAGCCTTGATCACAAATGATGTACAATGTATGATGCACCTATGACAGCATCCTGCATAGATTGAAGGTAAATCGCTTATCAATTTAGCTATTGCTTAGTGTCCTGCGATATTTCAAATTTTCCAAGCATTTTTACAACTTTTAGAAAGAGGCAACATTGAAGCCAATACAGCAGCAGTGCTTGTTGTGGATAGTCAACATGAAAGCCATACAGTAGCAAAATATGCCATTCACATTGTACTTACATGTGTATCTGGGGTCAGTAGGAAAACCATATAATGGTTCAAAAGAATGAATCCGATGTGTATTATTTGTGTACAGCACCAGGTAACAACAAGTAAATTGTATGAGGTTCAGAACAACATGGAACCTGGAATGTCACCCGGTTTTGCTCAATCTTGACATGTTGAGGTTACACAAGGTGACCTGGTATGATTTGACTGGTTTGCTGACTTACAGTGCCAGAGCCGCCAGATGGACAGCACATGGGCCAGGCAGTGCAGCAGTGAGAAGAGGAGCATGGGAAGGGTGTAGGACAGCCACACCAGGAAGGGGGGGAGTACAGGCAGCAAGTACAACACTGCACACCCCCACAACATGGTACAACCCACAGGACAAAAGGATGATGGGTAAAACGTGACGGGAAAAGGTGGTGAGAGATGGAAAAACAAGTGGGTTATAAAGTAAGGAAACATAGTAAGTACGAATGCAGAAGAAAGTTGAAATTAGATCCAACCAAGTTCAAGTTCACAAAAGACTGAAACACAATGAATAAGAAATGCTCAGAATAAAAATGACGGTGACTTGTGAGTAGGATATGAAAGGGGTGTCAAATGACTACAGAATGCACAGGCTTTCCATGTACAGAAATATACATGATGTAGGGACTATGGATTTGTGCAAGCTGAGACAAATTTAAGGATATTTTGTGAGCAATTGGACCTTCTTCAGCATGTAAGCAAACACAAAACACATGATACCACCACAAGGGCAAGGGACACAAAAAGAAACAGGTTTTTGGTACTGGTTGAATGGGCAAGGTGTTTAAACTAATGTTTACAAGGGGTAACATCAGTCAGTCAGATGACATTTGGAAAGTTTGGGCAAGTTTGTACAATGCAGTGTTCAAGCCAGTATCTGTCTTTCTGTCATTTGATGGAATTTTGCCACTCATGACAGACAAAAAAATTTTTCCCTGATGGACAAAAATCGGTGCGTAAATATATGGAAAGAGAAAACATTAAACTTAGCAGAAGGTGCCCCTTAAAAGAGAAGGAAACAGCATTTCAGAAGGTCAAGATTGCGATGATCTGGCTAGAACACTGGTACAAAGTCAGCAAAGATGGAACACCACACAATATACTAAATCTCAATCGCTTCACCCTACTAGTACTAACAAGTGCTTACCAAATCGCGGTGACCCCTCCTCCTCACTGCTTTCGTCTTCATCTGAAAACCGTGCCCGCAGACCCTTGCGACTTATGGGCTTATTTTCTTTGTCATCCTCCTCAGCGTCACTGTCGGGTTCTGCTAAGGAGGGAGTTTTCACCTTGATGAGAGGGGGCTGCCCAGCAGTGTCTCTTCTGTCCTTGTCAGGACCCAATGACACAGCCACATTTTTCAGCTGGTCCTCCAGGGTCTGTATTAGGGCAGACACTTCAGCACTGGAAGGACAATAACAAGGCATCAATATAGAACACTGGTCAATGCCTCAATACACATTCTTTTTGGCAAGCTAGCGATGCATACATTTGTGCTGTAGCTGAAGTATGCTGTCAGACTTCTATTTACAAGCTGCAGTTTACAGACTAACAGTTAGGGGGCACAGTAAGGTGGTATTTCCAGCCCTGGTAGAAGAAGGCTCTTGCTCTTACCTGGGCACTGAGCGAACCCTCTCCTTTATTGGTGGTTTGGCAGGTGGTGCAGTTGTTTCTTCCTCCTCCTCTTCTTGTTCCTTTCTTCCCTCCATCTCCTTGGTGGGTTGATCAGCTGTCTTTACCTGCACCTCTGGTACCACCTGGTCTTCATCCTTAGCATCTTCTTCCATTCCTTCCTTTTTGGCTGGGCTCTCCTGCAAAGAGAAACATGGGACACATGACTATTGAATAGAGGCTAAGTTAAACTGTTTTGTTTCATGGACTTTGTTGGATGATTGGTCAGAATTTTGCTTGCTGCAGATGATATAATCTCCGACATGACATTTAAAAACTATAGACGGGATGTAACCCTGAAATACGCAAATACAACCTTCAAAAGAATTAGTTGTGCCAAAGTGCTTTCCATAATACAACACAGGTTTTGCACAGGCACAGTAAGTTCTGCTGACATGCTGATTACATTTACTTATTTAGAGAACTATGCTATGTACTTACCGCAGGAGGTTTGGGTAGGCTGAAGCCGACTCTTTTTGGTGGTACAGGTGGGGAGCGCTTGTGCTGGACTATTGCTGTGGGTGGGGCAGGGCTGTCTCCTGCCTCTGGGGTGGGGAGGGCAGCAGGCAGAGATGGGGCAGCTGGGGAGGGGGAATAACACATGTTAGTGTGAAGTTGATATGTAATGTCTGTCCATCTACAGTGTAACAGCAAACATAACTACATGTCTGATATTGACTAAGCAGAGGCTGAATTATATATCACTAACAAATAAAATTCATTTTCCAGTTCAACCATGACAAATACATAGCCTTTGATCGCTCTTTGCACAAATGAAGAAGGAAACTTCTTCGAGTGCCATATGTGTCATCAGCTGTATTCATTACAGGTTTATAAATACAGTAAATTCAAACACTTACAGGTTTCTTAAAAACACTTACAGGTTTCTTCACAGTTTGCGACTGCACCATTAGCAACGTGGGGGGACCCAGCATCCCCTCCTGCTGCCTCAGGAGTCTCTTCCACTGTGGACAGGGGGGTGTTCCCAGCAGCCTCTGGTGCTCCAGCTTCCTGAGTTGCTTGTGGTACTGCACCGTCTTCTGTTCAGGGAGGACAAAGTAAAATGGAATCTTAAAAGGGGGAGGAGGGTACGAAGCTGTAGATGGAGAGCTACAGATTTGTGCCCTTTCTTTATCTCCAATATGGCTCTCATTCATTCTCTTTTTCATCCTTTTGCCACCATATAGTAGCATAATTAATCTATTTGAATAATTTGAAGTTTACTGCCAGCCAAATTGATACAAGAAAGTAGAACTTCTTCCAAAATTCACAGCCAAATTATGCCTGGACAACTTCCCTTTAATGTAAAAGAAGGAGTACCATTACATATATTGGGACTAAAGCATTAAATGAAAAATTTATACAAATTTTAGGACACTAAGCATACCTTCTGTATCCTTCAGCACTCCTCTCTTCACTAGATCCTCTCGTGTGGAACGCATGGAAATCTTTCTCTCCAGAACTACAGAAAAACAAAAGCTTTATTTAACACTAGCAGACATGAACAGCCCCAAATCACATTCATTTTTCATTATAAAGATTGAAGGTTCTGCTGCAGTACCAAGGAAAGCTGCTGTGAGTATACATTGACATTCCCAAGACTATGCACATACCAAATATCATCACAATCCATCAAGAACTTCTTAAGTTATACTGACCATAAATATCTGAAAACACAAGACACACAAGCAGACACATCCGAAATAAATTACCTTCAACATGACAATGATGAACACCTTCATTTTCAGTGATTTCACTGAGGCAAAAAGATTATGAGCTTAGACAGAACTTTGGAATATATTGATTGATAAAGAACATCAAGCTTACCTATTGATGTTTGCTTGAACTTTTCGCTCTTCTTCTTCCGTCGCCATTTCCATGGTTTGAAGATGCGTCCCAGCGTGGCGAACCTGCTCTTCCTCTCCACGGGAGGTGTCCGCGAGCCCGGCACAAGGCTCGAGCCAGACTTCATTGCATCTGTTTCTGATATGGTGCCTACAGAGGACAGAGGGACAAATGTTAGTATAGGTGCAGGAAAGGATGCATTATGGCGAGAGCTGTGTACCTAAACAGATTTTAGATGCAGGTACTGGTACAGGTATTCGAGTTAAGGTATAGTTAACAAGTCCCGCCAATCATCTGTGAGTTAAGAATGTACATGTAACCGACTGTATAATTATTTTTAATGGTAAATTATAATTATACGAGGGTTTACAAATTCAAGTACTGAATTGTCAAAATTGACATCTTTGAGATGCAATTTACCTATTGCTAGTATAGAGAAATGGTGTCCACTTTTGTTTCATTTTGTTCAGGTACATGTACTAGTACAGATATAAGCACACCCGACGTTCAGGTCTTGACCAAGTATTTACCTACCTGTACATGTACCTACATGTAAATATTTCTACATGTACAGGTACAGGCACGGGTACTACTATAGCCTAGTATAGGTACACAGCCTTAATTTTGACTTTAATGAAAAAACATTATTATCCATTCTCTCAGCAATTCGTGATCCCTGATTATTCATGCGAGTGACTGAGGCCTGTGTTTCAATGTATCCATATACTGGAGGCAGCAATCAACTATGAAAAAAAGAGCTGAAGTCCAGTTGAAATGCCACAGATGGCTTGTTGTCCTGACCATCCCTGATGACTGGTCACAAGAATACAACTTAAACTTAAAGTTTACATGTCCATGAAGTGTTTTTAGCTACAATGCAACATTAGTAATTTAGAAGAAGAGATCACCATGCTTAAAATACTTGGTGCATAGTCTACTGCACTGTTGCGCGCCTAAAACGTGCACTTAATTTTTTACTATGCCGGGTGCATGTAACGGCCCTATAGTACATACTGTAGTAATACATACATGTAGTAGTAATGTGCAGTATATTCTCGATGTGTTCTCACTGGTTAATTTGGCCTTTAACTTAATTGTATTCGACACAAACCTTCAGAGAACATTTGAACAAAGAAAAACATTTTTTGTGACTTATGTGATGAAAGAGTTAGGCCCTGTAAGTCGTATTGTTTGTGAAATATACTTATGTTCATTATATATCAATTATATTAATCATTTTTTAATCATCTGTAACAGATACATCTGTAACAGAAATTTTAAGCAGTGATAGAATTGCTTTTATATAGGTAAATGATTTGCTTTATAATAAGTGAATGTTACATGTACTTTTAAATATGTGTAATGGAACCTGCAATTCAGCCAATAGGCTGTGAGAGAGTTACTCAGTCTGAATAAACCATTCATTCATTCACTCTTGCTACCATTAGCGAATTTCAAAAGAACTGTAGTTGTACTCAATATTGATGGCTGCTGTGACCCATAAGAACTGCTCAACTTTCATGCAATCCTGCAGAATGCGACAAACTACAGAAACCTCACAGCATTTTTGGATGTTCCCGCATTTCACCATTTGCAACACACGTCCTCTGTCAGTTTGCCCCTCAAAAAAAGTTATGATACATTCCGATATGGCATCCACCGGTCAGTGACATGGCATCGACCATTTCAAACAATGGCAAAAATGCAAGGACTGTTTATGAGATGCAAAAAACCTATATAAGAAACATTTTTATTACAAATGTACAACAGTTTCATGATTAGAGAAAAAAAGAAAGTTCAGAAACTCGGGTTTTGAACCCAGGCCAAAAAGCCTATGAGATATCTAAACCAATACACTACAAACACATCATGATGTACATTGAGCTGACTAATATACTACGAAAGTCTTATTCAGTATTCTACACTATGGCAAGGCACATTTTAGAAATCAGAAATTAGTCATGGCAAAGACCACCAGGAATGATTAACTGCTCTACCATGACTGTACCACCATGTACATGTACCATGCCAGCTTTATCAAGAAGTGATCAAACCTAAGAAGATTTGACAGACGTCCTGATGTGAGGGTATCCCATCATGCCCCGGGAATGGGCATGCTGCAAGGGTGTGTTGTGGGGCCAGGGAAGGTGTGTGTGGAATCACATGTAATTTACACTCAAACGATAGGTACAAATGTAAAACAGGTGAAACTGCAAGACACTTTGTTTTGTACACAATGCACACACACACAAGCTTGAGGGCTTTTCTGTAATTCTACTAAAGTTCAAAACAAAGACATGTAAACATAACCTGGGTGCCATCGATCAGATTTGCAATGGGGCTCCCTGAACTAAATTTTTTGGGGGGGCAGCAAGTGCAAGGTGCCCATTACAAATCTGATGGCACCCAGACAGGCATTGACAAATGAACGAATAAAGCAACAAAGCAAGAGGGAGATAAAAATTAAAAGATAAAGAAAAGTGTGAACAGTACCCTGCTGGTGATAGGTACTGACATGGTAGACACCTCTTCTGCGAAGAAAAACCAGCCTGGCCATGGTGGAGACAGGACGCAGTGGCAGGCATGGGCAGGTCAAGGGTCAGGGTAGGGAAGCACTGTCAGAGGTCACAGGTCAGAGGAGTTCACAGGTGGGAATAGGTAAAAAGTAGAGATGACAGGTTAAGGGATTATGCCACAGTTAGGCACTGTGCACTGAGTGACTTAAAATTAACAATAATAATAATAAAAATCATAATTTGCTAAAGAACTTTTAAAACTCTATTTTCGGGGCATTTTAGTGCGCTTTTGGTATTTTGCTGGTGGATTGGATGGTGGTATAATGTATAGGGAGTATATGTTTTCCCCCAAAAAAAGGAATTTTGTGCATATATACATTAGCACATGTATATATGGCCAGGTTACACTATTTATAGGATGTACATCTATCTGTGAATGTGTGATCTATTTATGGATAGGTTTCACTTAGAATCAACTTTGACTTAACAGTGCACACCACATTTCTACTGCAACTGAGGTTGGTGAGATCAGCAGTAACATGTCCAGACAGAGGAAGGAGGCAGGATCACAAGCAACTGATAGATGAGGTCATCCCCTATTACAGGTATCTCCTGTGGGTCAAAGGTGACAGGCGAGGAAAAGAAAATCAAGACAAACTACGATGAAAAAACTACACGTCAAAAGGACATAACAACTATGAACAGCATTTATGAAACAGGAAGGTAACACAATGTTAACAGATGAAACAGGAAGTGAACACAAAAGGTTAACATTGATATGATACAGGAAGTAACACTAAAGGTTATCAGTTAGCACTTGCATAGGAAGGTCAACATTTGCTAGGGAACAAAGCAAAAATGCAAAAATTGGTGTTCCAAAATCATCTCTCAGCAAAAGTGAATGATTAGTTATATCAGTTATCCCAGTCCACTCCAAAAATGGAACTGCCATTATTAGTTTTAACTCTATCTTTAGTTTAAGGCGGGACTTACAGAAATTGGAAGTTACGTGAAGGCAAACATACAAAAATGAGGTTCTTGTTTACATGATTAATGAGGGAATGCTAGAACAGCTTAGCCTGGGTGCCATCCCCAGTAGTATATTTGCCAGCTCTATAACTGGGTCTGGACTTGAACACATATGTAGCGTCTGGAGTCTAAATATTCGTTCAGATTTTGAACGAGCGCGCTGATTGGTCCTATTCGTCTAAGCCCTTTTTGGGTGTGTACATATTAGGTAAGGGCCGTTCGGACGCCGAACGGCGACGTTAGCGTCCGTTCGAACGTCCGAACGGCTACGTTAAGATAGATCGTTATTCCTATCTTATTATCATCAACATGTCCGACGCCGAACGCAAAAGCGCACATGATATAGCCGTAGTCAGTGTACTTTCCGCGATCGATCATCAACATGGCTGGCGCACAAGCCGCTCAGCTCTCGGAGCTTGATGTTGACCTCGCAAAAATAGAACGCACCGAGAAAAGGAACACTCGCACGAAGATCGGTGTTTACAAAACAACAAACATCACTTGAATAATACAGGCGCGCCATTGGCCGTCGCCTCTGAGGCTCAGCCAATCAAATGAAGCCCCGCTGCTCGGGCTAGCTCATTACGTGACGTCTTCACCAATCGTTTTATATGTGTTCAAGTCCAGACCCAGTTATAGAGCTGGCGAATATACTACTGGGGATGGCACCCAGGCTAAGAACAGCTTTCTGTCTGGGCAATTGTTATTTGGGAGGAGAATACAATTAACTGATAGTGATACAATATTATATAAAAACAAAAGTTATAATTCATAAGTCATGATGTTAACATTATGTGGTTAAGGTATAAGATTGTGGGAGCCTAGTTTTGTATTGTAGTGAATACTAGTAGTAAACAGATTGAAATGTAAAGTATAGATTGTGCAATGAATAATTAAATTCTATCAGATGTTGAACTTGGTGCTGTAGATTTTCTTATATCTCTTACATTAATATCATGTACTAGTAGAGTAGCCTGAAGGCTGGTAATACAGGAAACATCCTCCAATTTTACTTGAACTAGTTGAAGCAGAGACATGCTCCTCTTGACTTTCTGTTGCTGTTGTTTTTGCTATTTGAAATTTTTTTCCATTTTGGGAGTAGAAATTATATATATTGTAACACTACACCACTAGAGATTTTTTTTTGCATTTACTACTTGCTATATCTAATTTTTTCATGTAGATTTTTCGAACATGCAATTTTGCATTATGTAACCCCCATAAAAACAGGATTTCAATTCAAGCCCTGTATTTGAGACCACCTGCCATAGGGAAAATCCTGGAAAAAAATATGTATATGAGTGACTATATGTATAATATGTTACGCTATTGAATCTGTAGAGATATAAAGATTTACACACGGGCAAAAACCTGACAGTACGAAAACTGTGTACACACTCGGAGGGTATGAAAACTGCATATGTTGAATTTTTCCTTTGTGTAGATCAGCCTGCTTTGACATACATCAAGATCATTTGACAGTCCTTGAGATAACGTACGATCTGAACATCAGTTCTTAAAATTCAAAGGCAAATTTACATATGCAGGAAAAATTTTGGAAAAATTCAACATACTAGTATACAGTTTTCGTATGCTCGTGAGCATGCACAGTTTTAGAAATATAGAATTGTCAGGCAGGTCTATACCCGCATGTAAATTGGGTCCTAGAAATATTTTTGTGGTGTTTGTTGTTGATACATGAGGGGGGTGGGGGGTGATACATGGAGGAGGGGGACTATACTTTGTTCCTGTGGACTTCTTGGTTAGACTAAGACCTTAGTCTGACCCTACAGGATGTATGTGTACAGGTCCCAGCTGGGTGACCCAGTGTTAGTTAGAGGGTTGGTTAGGTCGAAGTTTTACTAACCATGCTTGCGGGAACGTGATCTACGCTTCAGCATAGCACAGGCCTTGTTTCCCCAAATCTGCTCAAATCTGCAGAATGATGTGAATGGAGAAGACACAATGACCAACACCTGTCAATCACCACCTTAGTGGGTGGAGTTAGTCTTCAATCAATATCTTGGTTAATTCATTTTAAGACTGCCATAAACCCACGCATGATTTGAACAGGTTATGATTTAAGATGCCATTATCCTTCACACACTGTTAGATTTAAAAAAAAAACACTAATACTTTGCACAAGTCACACCCAAAGAGCAAATTTAAGTCAGGTGATGTCAGTATGTAAATCACATGAGCTCAGGAAAACTCTTGCCAAACATTCTTCAGACTTACTCTCCACAATATTCCTTTGAATTCATGTAGGTTTATAGGATCAATTTGCAATGATCACCACATGTAACATACACTCCTTCTAAAAATGTTTCACATGTATGCATATGTAAATACAAAAATACACTTATGTAACTTGTAAGTTATGATCAAAAATTGAAATGTCATTGTCAGCAAACGAATTAAAAATTGATAATGTAGACTTCCAAATATAAAACTCTATCCAATTCAAAACAATTGTCACAGAAAAACATGAAGCGCAATATTTTGGCGGGAAGTTCACATGTAACGTTATATCATCTGTAGCTGGCCTGCCCTTTGACCAGCAGGAAATTGCTGATGCAGATATCACAACACGGGCAACACAAGGTTGTCTGAAACGGATGTTCGTGTTTTTACAACCAAATTCTCTGCAAAAATCAAAAGAATCACTACAAATAAACATGTTTATGTGTTGTCTGCATCGTGTTGGGTGTGTACGGGACTTGAGGGCGATTTTTAAAACTCGAAACGGCAGAGACGGCAGTTGGACAGGTAAATTCGAAAATGAAGGAGGAGGGGCGCGATCTGAGGTTATGTCACATTCAGACGCCAAGTCGCCACATTGTAGCCAAAAAACATCCCAAGAATCCCCTAAGGAGCCGTCCTTGTCAGTTTGGTTGTGTACAACACGCTAACAGGCCGTTAGCACACAAATATATCTCGATGAACGCGCTAAAGATCGATTTTTCATCCCCGTCTTCCGGGGGCTACTCCGCCATGTTGTGACTTAGTAACATACAGCGATACGTCTTCACATTAGCGTCGTTTTCTCGGCATTACGTCCTTTTTGTCGCTTTCTGAAGGGACATAAGGCTTACCTGATTCTCCTGTTCCCTTATTCCTGGAGTCAAGCAGGGCTGGAGTGTCGCTAGAGCTGCGTTCACGCCGAATCACCCGCCGATCTTCCTCCCTGGACTCATTCCCCGTCGCCATTAACAGTAACTGGTCGACGTTACCAAAATGTGGGGGTGCGTATGATATTGAAATGACGTATACCGCATGAAAAAAAAACTTAATCGTCATACAATAATTCTTAATACCAATTTTGTCCATTGCAGATAATTCTTTCCTATTTTCTCGATATTAAGGCGATATAAAGATAATATTACATTTCCACCCCTGTATTTTGATGAGACCCGCCAGCCGTGACGTCATGAACTGTCAGAGTTTAGGTATGTGTGACGGGCGCGGCGGGTTACCAAAAAGCGCCCCCAGGCGACCAGGAGAAAAGGCACAACCTTTGTTACCACCTTGAAATTGAGGTATTATCCCTACCTTCCTCACCCCCTCTCTCTGCGTTTCCCTCTTCTTAGTTACCATCGAACAATCCCTACTGGGGCATTACTGAGGGAGTAATATTGTAATCGTGGAAGGATGTAAATCGTGATTTTGCGTTATAGCCGCCTCCTTGTGGCTGACCTTGGTACTGAAGTAAAACTTCCTGTTTTGTATCTTTTGTCCTGGGTATGACGGTCGTTCGTGTCCGACGAGCAAGTGGTGTGGTTTTGGACCTCCAGCAGATCATTCTGGAATTACAGGAGAGTTTCTGGCGAAATCTTTCAAAATCAAGAAATACATGACGGGTTTTAATGGCCTTGGAATGTAGGTAGCTAAGACAGATAAGACAGAGATGAATACAATGAAAGGCATGTCCTTGTCATATATTAAACGTACTAGTACCGTAGCAGAAGCCTCAGAGATTTCTGTACCAATCAATCACTAAGAAATTATTTTGATCAGGACGATACCACAATGTAATGTCATGGATTATTCTTGAATTTTCGAAGTTTGTTTTCATTTACATAGCATGTAATTTCAATTCATTGCTTTCAGTTATGTTTGTTAGCTTTAAATGAACACAACGACCTTCGTGTAAATAGAGACTAGGTACCACAAAAGCAAATGAAAGTTTTGTTACACATGAAATCCATTTATGTGCTAAATATTTTTATTGTCTTCCACTGTTGAAAGTCCATTCTATACAAAGAGCAAGAAACTCTTACCAGTTCTTGACTGCAAAATCATTTATATACATAGTCAAAATGTTATTTCTGTCACCATTCGAGCACACTAGAGAAGGGTGATTCATTCTTCATTAGGTTTGACATGTAGGGCATCAAAGGCATAAAACACCATCCATGCAGAAGGTTGTAAAATACTGGCTGCTTTAAAATCTTTATCATGCATATTTTAGGATGTTGGGTTGGATTGAGGCCAGATAAAATCGGAATGCCATCATCATACCATAAAAGGATTGTAGTATAAACAGGAATTACTTGAAATTCAGCAAGATGTTGGCAAAACAGTAGTTGCAGTAATCCCTTATTGTAATAATATCCCTTATTGTAATATCTATCCTAGCGTCTCTAATCTGCATTGTAACTATTCCTCAATATGGATTAACTGAAATCTACGACGTTAAGCACCGCCGACTCACAGAAAGGAAGTACCTTGTTGCTTTACCAAGTCAGACGTTTTGTCTGCACAGTACAGCTATCATTCATCCATACATAATTTCCTCCCCGACGCTGTATCTAGCTTCCGTAGTCCTATCCAGTACCGTGACATAGTCCTACCCAGTATCCGTAGCCCTATTTAGTACCCATAGTCCAGTTGAATACCCGTAGTTCTATTCAGTATACCCATAGTCCTATTCAGTACCATAGCTAACATGCATAACCGTACCATCCAGTACCCGTAGCCGTATCCATGATATAAAGGCTAGTACGTAATTTGTATAATTTGTTTGTTTGTTTGTTTGCGATCCAACTCAACAAGCTGTCCTGCACTACATGGCGTCCACAGCAGTGACGTCATCAGGTGATGCAACTTTATTGACAGGGTGCCAGGAGCTAGATGATGTACATGTTTAGCGCAGTTAAGTGATTTCATCAATAAATGGTGAAGTGAGGAGAAATAAATAGTTTAGAACTTAGAAACCTCGATTACCAACTCCCCTGGCCCTTCACACGGCGTCTAGACTGGCCCTCCATTTACGGCAACTAGCACTGTGATGAAGGAATTGTTTGCCAGTACGATCTATGACCTTCCTTCAACTCTCCCTGCCGACTTCTAAAAGTACTACAGTATTCAGACCGGTCGAAGAAACATCCCCAGGCCCCACTGACCCTGACCTCCCTATGAGTGCCATCAGTACTACGATGTTCAGACTGGCCGTAGAAACAAGCCACATGTCCCGCCGACGCAGACAATGATGAACGTCCACAGAAATATCCGGTCGATAACCATGGCGACGTACTTCCAGTCCTTTTCCATCTGAAACGGAAACAAAATGGCAAAAAGTAAGGTATGGTTTCACCATCATTCCAACGATATACTTGAACTAAGATAAAGATAGAATTAGTTTCGTCTGCTCCTACTTTATGGGGTGTTAAGCATGGAAAGTAGCTGACATCGACAAATCAACACTATTAATTGGTCTTGACCAGTTGTTCGAACTTGTTCCTCTCAGTAGCGAAACCCGGACTTGGTGTGCCCTGCTGTTTTTGCCTCACTGGTTTGACCTTAACGATATCTTTAATTCGAAATAAATTTCGAGTGATAGTAGCCTACGTACGGATACTTACATTTTGATTCCGTTCTCTGTCCCGTAGGTGTTTGGCGATGTAGATAACCCCGTCTGCTGCCTCCTTCACCTCCGGGAGAATGGGATCGTCCAGGTAACGTTGGCGGGAAATGGCCAGGATGCCCTTCCTCTGTGCTAGCGCGGCCTCAAGGTCCATACTCTTGGGCCGAGGTTTCAGTCCGGCGATCCCGGGGGGAACCTTGTGTAGACACGGTCTGACCTCGCGAACCTCCTGTTCTCTGATTTCCTGTTCTATGATTTCTCGGAAGATCTCGAGGGGATCGAAGGCTGACACTTGGACTTCGTGTCTCTCCATCCACAGCAGTTTGGGTAAGATCTGTATGAAGATTTTCCTGACCCAGGCAGGCATGTTGTGAGTGTTAGGTGACCTGTGGTGAATGTTGAGCACGAAGACTGTCAGGGTGATGGACAAAGTCACGAAGACCATGGTGAAGAGCAGGTACTCCCCGATCAGCGGCACCACCAGGGAGGTGGATGGGATGATGTCATTAATGACCAGCAGGAACACGGTAAGAGACAGCAGTACGGAGATGCAGAGTGTCATCTTCTCCCCACAGTCCGAGGGTAAGTAGAAGACCAGGACGGTGAGGAAGGAGATGAGAAGGCACGGGATGATGAGGTTGATGGTGTAGAAGAGCGGCAGGCGGCGGATGATGAGGTAGTAGGTGATGTCGATATACTTCTCCGGACAGCACTCGTACTTCACCACGTGCTTGGCTCCGGGCGCGTCCTCCAGCACCCACTCCCCGTTACTCCACTCCTCCCGCTCCATCTGGTGCTCCTGCTCGCTCCCGTTTAGCTGAGCGCCATCGTACGTGGACGGACCGAACTTCATGTCGATCTGCGCGCCGTCGTAGGTCCAGGAGCCGAACTTCATGGAGCAGTTCTGCTTGTCGAACGGGAAGTAGCGCACGTCGATGGCGCAGGCGCTCTTGTAGATGGCTGGAGGGACCCAGAAGACCGTGCCGTCGAACTGCACCTCAGCCTTGGTCTGTTGCTTCACCTGGAACTGCCCGTCAGCACTGCAAGATAAGGAGAGCAGCAGGTCATTTGTTTGTGATTGCGTGCGTGAGTTTGGGAGAGTCACTACAGCTGTATCTAACGAAGGAGTCACTAGAGTTCTGTAACTTGCCAGGAAGATTTAGCTAATGATGTAAATTTGGACAAACCAAGCATTAAAGAACTAACACGATAGTGAAACAATAGTGCGGTAATTACGGAGGATGACACCCAGGCTACAAGATCATTCTTGCACAATAGCGCATTCAGCACATCAATAATGCTCTATCTACACATAGATTCTCTTGTTCAACTCGATTGATTCGCTTGTCTGACACAATCCCTGGGCAGACATTACATGGCAGTGTACTGTTATCTTTCCAACCACCTGGCGTCTTTTATTGTAGTAGAGGTAAACCCAAAGGCACGATTTGACTTGAACAGACAGGTTATCTTTCTCGAGGACAGCCAGTCTTTAGTTTCGATGTTACATGAAGAATGATTAATGAGCGACGCAGGTAAACATCCATCGACCGTCCAGCGTCCAATTCGCGCAGAGTTTGCACAAAGAGGATAGGTCATCTGATGTTGACCCTACCGAGGAGTACTGCACAGACAGAGAGCTCAAGCTTGGAATGTGATTTCCAGCAGCCACTGCAACACTACTTTCCCGGGTATCGAGTACCACAGACTGTTTAGTTTACGTTTGAGCTGTAATGTATAGAACTATAGCTACTGGAGTCTAGGGATTCAATGCAGTACCGTCGATGTACGTGGTTTAAACTAGGACATCTTTTCTACTTAAAAACGTGAATGACTTGATCGCTATAAGTATCGGTAATCTTTACCTTGTGTGGATGGATCAGAGAAACATCGTTCGATTTTCGATAAAAAGTGACGCAATTAAGAAGCGCCATTAATACTGCAGCATGGCTTCCGATCAAGTGTACGGACGGGGAGTAGGGCGGCTCGATAATACCATAGCCACACACAAGGCGGCACAAAGTGAGATTCATGACGATCAATAGCTGTGTTGGTTCTGTGGTCCCGTTCATCACAGGAGTCAACCAGTCTTGATCACTGACCAAGCAATAACTGGCATTGATCACTAGCAAGTCGGGGTCATAGCTGGATTAGCTCTAGTTTCAGCTGAATCTTCTCGTGGTCACAAAAACCTATGTCAATATGGCAAACGGCGAGGTAGTGATTATGGACTTGGTAGATCCTGTCAGATGGCAGTTTCGTCAAATCCCGCTCCTGTGGATACTGGCATGACCTTGGTTCTTGTGTGTAAATCTACCGGGTATCGCCAGACGGCGCCGTGAACAAAGATACCATGACGAAGGTTTGGACAAATTTAAAGGGCGTGTAAGATTTAAACCTGCCTGCTTCGTCTTAGTGAATAATTAGAAGAACATTCGAATCTTCCATCCTTATCTTCGCCCCATATGTCACTGCAACATAATATCACATGACCCTATGTACATATTCCCTTTGTGGAAACGCTATGTAACTCCGCCGATTCATGCTCGGCTGGTACCTGTACAGCTGTGTTTCCCATCAGGAGGCTTTTGGAGAGTTTTTTTATAGCCCTTAAAATGGGGCAACATAAAAGTCAAATGGCAGCGTGAGTGCTAAGAGGTGACAGAGGCCTAAGTAGATGCAGGTCGGCGTGAGGACACTAACGTGCCGGTCAGAGGTGTGCTGAAGAACGCCCACACGGCGCTGGCGACCCGAGTACAGGCAGACCCGGTCCACTGCAATTGTAACGTCATCAACAGGCTGAAAAGGGATTTGGCCAGAGGCGAAGGGAAATGTTGAGTTGAAACATGTCAGCCGCACGTTTCTGCTTAATAGTAAATACGGATCATGCAGCTCGGAATGCTCCGGGGCGGTAAATATACATTCTACATAACGAAGTAACGACTAAACACCAGGGTACAATCGCCATCATGATTTGATTGAAGACTCCTCCACTGATCTGTATTTTGGAAAGCACCAACTCCTGTAAACAACTAGCCACTGTGAACATTCTGGAGGGGTGGGAGATTTACTACAGTTAACTTTGGATCAGCGCCACGAAATGCATCAAGTTCAAGTATTATGCTTTCTTTTCGGTGTAGTGTCGTGAGCGCGAGTGTAAAATGTACGTGCCGTGCTGCTACATTGTCGGCAGTTCAAAGCAAAAAGGTCCACCCGGGTCTCTTTCATGATTGATCGGTTGACTAGCCAGACTTGACCTCTCCACTTGACCCTGTATCTCCCCTCACAAGCCGCCCGCTGGAGGAGGTGATGATGAATTGATGGTGAATCTGACGGAACGTTTGAGCGTGGGTCATTTAGATTTGCTCTGTTAAGACACGTATGGATTTATGGAAGTAAATGTCATTTGGGAGGAAAAATCAATTGATTTATTGAGGGTTTTGTCAATGCAATGTCCATAAAACAAGAGTTACCGTGGTTCAGCCTGTCAGTGTTCGGCTAAGACTAGAACGAAACGACCATTATTTACGATCAATCAGGTGTTTTCTTGCTAATTAAGACGAGTCAGCGCGACCATTAGTCTTATATTTCATACCATTAACATTTTAAGGAAAACTGACGGGCAATCTGTGTTTGGTACTTGTTTGGTGTTTGACGTTTAGCTCATGCCACCTGTTTTACTTGGTAGGACAGAAAACACACAGACTCGTCTTCTCACGTCTGTTAGAGGGCAGATGGAACGTCAGCAGATTAGCAGACAGGAGAGGACGGGGTTCACCATAACATGATAAGAAAATAGTGCGAGCCTGATGACGATGTGGTAGGTGATGTTCGTTAGTAGGTTTACGGGCAGCATTTATACTTCGCTATATTCTTGTGTCCGGGAGCCTACATTATGTCACTCTCCCAGAAGTCCTCAGTCTTCATCAGCCCACTCTCCATCTGCAGGTCCACGTGCGCGCCCCCGTGCAGCAAGGAGCCGAACTGCAGGCTGCAGGTTAGCTGATGGAGCGGGAAGAGGCGTGCACTGATGCTGCACGCACTCTGCTCAAGGTAAACATGGCGGGGAGTGATAAGAGCAACGGACCTACCCGCCTACATTAATGAGGAAAAAAAGGTGACGAGAAGACCAGTGTGCATGTGTAGACACGTTCTGTGAATCACCCCTCTGACAAATAATGTCTGGTGGCATGTTTGCCGCGGCGAAAGTTAACAGTGAGAGCAAATCATTATAATATTACTTGTAGCACGGCAAAATTGTATATAGCAAATATGTTCAAAACACAGAGTAAAACTTGTTCTATTCGACAATGAAGTGTGGTGGACGGCCAGTCCTTCGAGTATAGCATGTTATATGGTGCAGTCGCAGTCCCCTAGCTCTCAAGTATATGTGTACCAAATGAGAATAGACATAGGTAGCATACGTGTCAACCTTCGGCACGTAGATCATAATCATGAATCTATACTGGCTGTACCTCGCTCATCTTTCGGCTTAGCCTGAATGGCTCAATATTAAAGAGAAAATAAACCACCTTCAACACTGCACATCTGCGGGTCAAATCTATCTGAGCCATTCAATGGAGCGGTCAAAGATCTCATCTTTATGGTAATGTGGATAACGCGCCCACCGCAGGCTGACACATAAGGCTACCATAATAATTACCCCATAAGTGTGCCTTCCACATCCATTTGTATGATTAAATCTTGACTACGGCACCAGGCAACGTCTGCAAACACGCACATACAAACGACTAAAACCTCTGCGGTTGGCAATTCAATTCTGACAAGTTATGAATTTCCACGGGTCCCAATTCTCTAATGGGTGCTGAAAAGCACCTCGTGCAGATATCAGCCCAGAAAACTGGATTGCACCTGATGTGAGTGCTAAGATTAGTCAACCTCGCCTACCACATAGGCATGTGTTAGTAAAGAATACACATCTCTGTGCGTACATTTACGTGCTTGGTGACCAGAAGATACCGATCGTGTGATTGCCAGGTGCTAACGAATATTGGTTTTACTTAAGTTTCAAAATGACTAAATGGATGCCGCCAGATCTTGTATTGCAAAAGTTGGCATTTCGCATGGTTGGATCGATGCAAAACCCGCTGCTAACGTACTTTCCCGGGTAAACGTTGTTTTGCCAAGGCAGTAAAATATCACGTTAGCCGTCCTAGAATGTATTCAATAAACCTTCATGAAAAGGGACAGAACAAGTGAAATTACTAGTATTATTCCACAACTAAAATCAATTACATGTAGTAAACTCATTGCCAAAAGTGCTTAATATTTGGGTCACATTTCAGGGTGTAAACGAAACATTACACTTTATTAGTTTTCTGTCAAATTTTTGGTGTTTGTTGTCTTTTAGATCATACTTTTCAGCACTGGAAAGTGGCCAGCCGGGCCCCGGGCCAGCAATCATGACCTTGGCAGAAGTTGGAATTGAAAAAAAAACGGCCAAGAGGCAGATTTGAGTATGTCATGAATAAGCAAAGGCTAAAGCAAACAAACAAACAAACAAACAAACACACATGTTTTGTAGTTGTATATTGTACATTGTATTCATCACTCATGTTTGATTTTCATTGTTACATTCTGTATCAAAGTACATATCAAGTATGTAACGGGAACGTACTTGTTATATAGGACGATGTCAGGTAGCCAGAGGTCGGTGGAGGGGACCCGTAAAACTGTCACCCCGTCATAGTCTTCAGGGTTCCACTGCAGCTTGTGGTCATTCCACTCCTAGTGGGAACACATAGATGTTACGCACTAGACACTGGTGTGTCCGTGTGTGTTTTCGTAGTTTGTGTGTGTGTGTGTGTGTGTGTGTGTGTGTGTGTGTGTGTGTGTGTGTGTGTGTGTGTGTGTGTGTGTGTGTGTGTGTGTGTGTGTGTGTGTGTGTGTGTGTGTGTGTGTGTGTGTGTGTGTGTGTGTGTGTTTGATATTACAATGACGTGACTAAAACATATGACATTTTCTTGAGTAACATTTTCCTAAGAATGGCGTTCATGTAAAGGCCGGAATGACGGCACAGAAGTTCTCGTTGTATGGTCAGGTTCATTTGCCCATGATCACCCCATGTATCGAAGATCATTTCCTCCCCAAAGCGAAAGGTAGAGACCATGGTTCCATCTCAATATAAATAGTAACAGTTAACGATTTAATCAAGGCCTTTCCACCAGACCTTTGTCCCAGGCAAGGTCTGCTTATTTCTGCTGATCTTTTACTTCCTTTGTTCCTGCTGAAGTGCCCACTCCATCACCTCCTACAGTTTTAGGTCAGCAGCCTCATTACAAGGCCCGAAAAGGCTCATATAATGAACGGCAGTGACTGGGGCGAGGAGAGGGCATCCATCATATCAATAGGCGGTAAGTAGTGCGTGGGACCCGCAGACATGCATGGGGAGGCACGGCGTGTGACGTACCTGGTGTGAGTCCCCTTTAATCCGCAAATATGCAGTCAGATAATCAAGTTTTCATTTAATCAGTTCGTAGCAATAGCCTTTTTAGTGAATATTTGTATTTTTCTCACTCCCTTCTGTTCCCTCTTCTCCTCTCTCCATCTCTGTCATTCCCATAGCCTATACTAGGCTTCAGAGGCGGTTGAAAGTTGGCCAAATTGACAGATAACATGCCAGGGGAGTTAGTCTGCTAAAGGACTACAGTTTTCCACTCTGAAACTGTACTCCTTTACATGTTATCCGTCTATTTGGCCAATTTCAACCACTGAAGCCTGGTCTTTCCTTCTGTGTTTGTGTGTTTTGCACCTGGGTAAATAATACAAGGGGAATGGTAAGTGTAGGTCTAAACCTGAGGCGGTCTGTGAAAAATACTGTTTAATACCTACTAGGAGTGTACACGGGACATAGTTACTGTTACCTATTGTACACAGGACACGGTTCCTGTTACATATTGTATAAAGAGCAGGCTAAGTGACATCCAGATATTTGTAGGTAAGAAATTTGCACTGACCTGCCTGAGCCAGACGTTTGTAGTCATGATCTGGTTCTTCTCATCCTTAAGGTAGAAATAGACATACCAAAAACAAAGTCAGAGCCAATTAGGATTTACACACATCTTAAGGTCATATAATACGGGATTATACTTGCGATGCAGTGATCAAACAGGATATGGTACGGAAAACATACAATGAATCTCATATAATATGTTTGAATATTAATATTCAGTTGGTTTCACATCACTATAAGAACATCGTTTCGCCCATAATGCATTAAAATTGATCCAGTTTCTTGTATGCGTACTTCGTGCTCAATGTTAACTTTTGTCTGTCATTTCGCAATGGAGAGCGTTATGTATCCATCTCTGTCGAGTGATGAAGGGGTTTGATTCGTCACAGGGCTGCAATATTGCAACAGCAATGGCTTTCCAGGCCGTTTAAGTTTGTGTTTCCTTGCGAGCGAGCAGGCTGACTCCCGGTGAGGCCCTGTCACACCACTTCCTCCTGCAGGCGTGATGATGGAAGGCTGTTAACGCTATCAGTGAACACAGACGCACCACGGGAAGGTTTCCAATAGCTGTTAGCGCTATCAGCCGCAACGGACGCCACTTTAAGACGTTCTTAAGTGGTTTTGGTGCTATCATCACGACAACGTTTTACTCGCCAATAGCACCGCTGTCAGTCGGCAGAGTAGGCCAGTTTTGATGCAATGCTCCCAAGGCTACAGGTACAAAACTCACCACCAGAACACTTTAGATGTTCACTTTCTCATGCGCAATAACTTGCTGGGGGTGTTTAGGAGGGCAGAACTTTTGTCTCTTCCATTAAAATACCTCAGAATACGTCTCATGTACTGGGCCATTCTCCGTTAACGAGGAAAATATTGCTGTCCAAGCCGACCAACATGTTGTCAATAAGTTTTATCTAAACATGCCACAAGAATGGGTAACGAGGTATTCACCTGTATCTTACTTTCAGACATTTCTATATGAGCACATTTCAAACCCATTTCAAGCTTCCGGGTGTTTTATAATTCAAGGAGTACAGTTGGATAAGATGGTTTGCAGTAACGGCTGACGCACGTCTGTCACTGATCCAACTGTTCGGAAGTGGGATCATCTAGATGAATGGAGTCACGGCATGTTTGGTCAGGATTAGAGTAAAAGATGAATGAAGTCACGGTGTGTTTCGGCAGGGATAGAATAAAAGATGAAGTGTAATCCTGCATCGATCCGTAGAACGTAGCTGGAACGGCAGGGATTACTGGGGAATTATAGTTCTGCATGTTGCGGGATCACGGGGTCGGGATGGCAGAAATGAAGGCAGCATGCGCAGCTGTTTTATTATACAGAACTTCTCTGTTACCTCTGACTCAATTATTATACAACACTACTGTTAACTGTTATTATACACCACTACTGTTACATTATGGCCGCAATACTCAGTTATTATACAACACTTCTGTTACCTCGGTTATTATGCGATACTACTCTTCCCTCATGGCCGCGATGCTCAGTTATTATTCATCACTGCTGTTTCCCTGCGGTCGAATTACCTAGTACATAGTGTTAGAAGCTCCCTCTTTGTGTTCCTATTTTTGCTATAAAACCTAACCGAGTAATAAAATTAAAAGGAAAGGCATCAAATCAATCCAGCTGGGCCACAAATTCATTTGATGTTCCATATGTACACCAAACATACATGCATGCAGAAATACTCAACACACACATGTATACAGCGATACTCCCCACACATGTTTGCAAAGATACTCACCACACATGTATGCAGAAATACTCACCACACATACATGCAGGAATCCTTACCACACACGTATGCAGCTATACCCACCAAACATGTATGTAGCCATACTCACCACACATGTATGTACTATATTCACCACACATGTATGTAGCCATATTCACCACACATCTATGTAACTATACTCACCACATATGTAGCTATACTCACCACACATGTATGTAGCTATACTCACACACATATGTAGCTATACTCACCACACATGTATGTAGCTATACTCACCACACATGTATGTAGCTATACTCACCACATATGTATGTAGCCATACTCACCACACATGTATGTAGCTATACTCACCACACATGTATGTAGCTATACTCACCACATATGTAGCTATACTCACCACACATGTATGTAGCTATACTCACCACACATGTATGTAGCTATACTCACCACATCTATGAGCTGTGAAATGGACACGCCGAACGCCACCGTGACGTTGTCACTGACATTCGCCACCGGCCGGATCCACTTGTTGTAGTTCCGGAAAAGGTCTCGGAACAGTTTCTCCTCCGCTTTGGACGCGTTTGCACCTGTAGTGCGGGGTAGGATTCATATCAGTAACACGGGTAAGGAAGGATCTAACTGCAACATGTCTGTCAATCTGAGTCTCCTACCATCTTTCTTGGTAATATTTTGTTACTCATATTGAAAACTATATCAATTGTCTAAGTTTAGTCTCAAGAGTCCTCAGGGAAGTTAAAGAATTTGACCGCCTCAAAGTTCGCCCTGCCTTCAAGCTTAAACTTAAGAAGACAATTTAACAAAGCCAACAGTTTATTCTCCAAAGAACTATGATACTCGCCATCGCTTCTGGACTTTTCTGATCTTGAAATTGCGGTTGTGATTGCACCATTGTAGGTACAGAAAGATGACAGCCAAGGGCCATGGTTACCGGGGTTTTCTTTGGGTGTTATCACGCTCCACTGGGCACAATTTGCTGTACAGCAGGCTGAAATTGGAACGGTGCTTCTGCTCGGAACACGGGCGACGTTTGACGGGTCGCGCGGGATTAAATCAATACTCATTTTGCCGCTCCACTAGGCTGACGTCGGAAATGAGGAAAATGTCCCACTTTTGGACGCTCTTTGTTCACCCCTCGTCTCGTTCCAACATGACGGGAAAGTGTAGGGTGCAAAGCTATAATTTTTCTTGGTGTGGACAACTTGACAGTTGACTGCAATGGTCGAGGCCAGACATGCTTTCAGTTTCACACAGGCCACTTATCACCAAACCATCATCTAACACCGCACAAAATTCATTCTTTAAACAATTCTTTAAACACATAACCAAACGTAAAGGTTCCGTCCCAAGTCTTCGCTCCCAATTTTGTACCTTAACGCATGCTTCAAGGTGTGCTTAAAGATAAGATTTCGTGCAGGGAAAATTACGTATACTTAATAAAGAAATCTTTCTATAACTATCTATACGGTAGCTCTTCTGTAATGTTCACAGTGTGCTAAATAATATTTGCAGCAACGTTAGAAATCAAATCATGCTTGAAAGGAAACCACCGATCCTTAGTGGGAATGCCGGCTCCATGGGATCTGATGGTCCACCGGAGCCTGTCTTCCCCAGCTTCGCGCAGCGTAAAGACGCGGGGAGATGGGGGTAGACATTCATCTAGTTATTATAACAGTTACTTCATCTAAACAGTCAATACCTGTATCTCATAATGCATCATCTGTCGACCCGGGGGACGGGGGTAAAAAAAAAAACAAAAGACTTTGGGAAGCTGAGAATTGACTCTGCAATAACATGATTAAACAGTTTCACAACAATAGGATCAGATACAGCGTAGGTGCGGACTGCCTCGTGCAACTTGTAAGTAGCATTCACACAATTTACTTTATTGAATATTAACTATAGAATATATACTTACATGACTCCCCCCCCCCCATGATGTGTAACGCTCTTGAATGCCACTGTAAACAACCAACACCGTGCGTGACTGTCTTCTAAAATGTCTTTTAATTGTAATTATTGCGATACTGTACACAGCCAACTGTAATTAAACTGTTAAGTCTAAGTATCAAGACCTCAATGCGTTTAAAATAAATAAAACACCTCTCCTTCTTTCTCCGCCTACAGACGTGTGGTGCGTGGCGAGCCATTTCAATTTGGAGAAGGATATTCCGGCAAAATGTCTCGGTGACACGGGGTTAAGGTTGAGATGGAGAGTGTTGACCTTCACGTATTTGATCTAGAGCCGACAGAAGTCCGGCGGATGAGCTCTAAGATGCTACCTGAATGCGATGCGGTTATGTGAATTCTAGAAAAGTGAATTTAGAGTTGAATGTTAATTTTATCTAAATTTCGTCGGTGAATCCAATGCTTCAGTAGTATATTGTCTTGATGAAATGACCAAAAAAATTATTTCAACATATGATTAGTATGACATGGGTTCTGCCCACCAAGTAATGATTTAAACACGTGTATGTTATATATTCCATTAAAACGTAATTGATAATTTATAGCCTGTAAAAAACCGATGCAACAGCTCCCTGTGGAACCCACAGCCATGCAGACAATCCGAACGATTTTAGATCCATATGTTACACGGAATAATCGTTTTCTTGTTTCTGTCTCAGTTGATGAGGGGGCCCGGGACCAGTGTCTTTTATTCGATTGCTGGTTTCAGGTAGCTGAAGGACCGCCAAGACATCTCGATCGCTCGTAAAACCCTGATCTTGTCGTCTTATTTATAACTTACCCCAGCTATCTCTGCATCTGATAGCGATAGGATCATAATTTCATGAGTTTATAAACGAGACCATCAAAGTGAGATGAGTATCGATCATGAATAAATAAAATCAGTGATCAGATCAGCACCTGTGGGGATGACTGACTGGAACAGTTCTTTGTTTCCTTCACTCCACAGGCTGCTCGGGAATTATGGACTCAGTTGTCTTTTAATTTCAGAGAAAGGACAATACATCAATTAAAATCCCCGGCTGGGATATAGCCAGGATGCACTTTCTACCAGATATTAAGTCATATCGATCGGCTGTCCATCAAGGCGCGCTCCCGGCCAGTTTAATCTGGTGATACCCGGCCGAACGCCCGTGTGCCAGGTGAGGGGAAATGCCACGCTGGAAGGGCAACAATCACTCTTACTTTGGGCCAGCTTAGTATTGTTTGCGTTGTAACTTAACATGCATAGAGGCTGTGAATGGTAGCCTTAGCATTTGATTGGCACATGAGCTCAATATTCTCTCTAGGTTTAGTAGTCCACACACTGTACAACCCTTGTTGGGGCATCATATATGTGAAGCGTTAAGCGACGTTATCTAGCAAGATTGACATTGGTATTATTACCCTCCATGAAAATGGGGGTACTGTTTTTACTCCGTTTCATGTTTGGTCTGATATCTGAAGATCGGTGAGAAGGAACTGTACGATATTTGGCAGATTGATGGATGGGGCCTTGGAGATTGTGTAGGTTGACTTTGAGCCCCTGGTGATTGACCTTGGTACTGCAGTTTAATTTTTTATTCTGTTGTTTTCGCGTTATGGACTGTTTGTGCGATATTAAGGTAGCATGTAGTTGTTATTACCATGGTTTAGTGGTTTAAATTTGGGTCCCCTAGCTGTTTGCGTTTGATATTTACAAAATGTTTAATGTTGGACTTTTTGTGTTGAATGTTTGGAAAATCTGGGGGATGGTTTGGTATGATTTTTGGTATGTGGGTAGTTGTTGAGTCTCTTTGTGTTTTGGAGTGCATTAGCAGGTTGTCGCATATTTTTATTGCTTAATTTAAAAGGATTTTCACTTTTTCACCCCTACTTCATAATAGGATGGTCTGTTTGACCCAAAAGTTGGGACAGAGTGTTTTTGTTTATACCTCCAGCTGGCAGGTCAGACCCAGGCAGCCCTATCTATTTTTACCCCTAGACAGAGATGCAGGAAAATAAATCTTGTTTGTCTGGTCTGCAGGTCATTTGACCTGGTCATTGACCTACATGTACAGGCAAATGTAGCCTGGGTACCATCCCCAGTAGTATATTCGCAAACTCTATAACAGTTATGAGTTTGCGAATATACTACTGGGGATGGTACCCAGGCTAAGGCAAATGACCTGCTGGCCATCAAAGTAAACAAACCATGGTAACAAGACACTAAACGCCTGCACATGACAGCTTGATAAATACAAAGTGCCACCACAAATCATTCTGCTGATAAAAACAAAGTTTGACTCATAATATCTCTATTGAAATACACCAAAAGATTACAAAATAACAAGCTATTTCATGGAGGGATGATGTCTACGACTTCTCCTTGTTTCTTACTGTACTCACTTTAAACCAGTTTGGAGTGAATTGCGTGAGCTCGTGTGGAGAAGATTGTGTGAGTCGGTATGATGAGGATTGTGTGAGTCGGTATATGAGAACATTGTGTGAGACGGTATGTATGAAGAAATTTGTGTGAGCCAGTAAGGCAGCATCATACTAAAACAATTCTTAATTCTGGCACCACACCGTCCTCATAAAGAGGCAAACGTGCTCGACAATGCAGAGGGGCCTGTCATCACGATCGATGAAACTAACCATCATCAACAGAGGAAACTCCTTCTAGAACTCGATCAGTGATGCCCAATTTGCCCTCTTAAAACCGAACTGCTCGTAAAGCGGTAAGCCTCCACGGCAACTATCACCAACATCAGAAAGCCTTCTGCAGTCTGAGCAATGGGACATGGGGTTACAGAGCAATCACAGGGGTAGGAACTCCCTTCTAGAGTTATCCATTGGGAAATTACCTACAACAACATGGTAATTGGTTGAAGGCAAAAACTGTCTCCTGCTGCCGTACTGCCTCTACACTGGATGATATCAACGTCAAACTAGCCAAAAGAAGTCAAAACTTTTATTGTTGAATGATCAGTTTAGGAACCGGCTTTTATAGAAGGCAAAATTAGCGGTGGAGACTGAGTTCTTCAGCGGAAGCAGCAATAGAGACGCTGGATCTGCAGCTGGGCAGCGGTACCGGTAGAGACGCTGGATCTGCAGCTGGGCAGCGGTACCGGTAGAGACGCTGGATCTGCAGCTGAAGCAGCGGTACCGGTAGAGACGCTGGATCTGCAGCTGGAGCAGCGGTACCGGTAGAGACGCTGGATCTGCAGCTGAAGCAGCGGTACCGGTAGAGACGCTGAATTCTGCAGCTGCAGACGCTAGCGGTAGAGACGCTGAATTATGTTGTTTAGTAGCAGAAGAAAGGATGCTTCCGGATATAAATTTTGAACCTCTAAAAACTAGTTTTTGCTTGATATGGTACTCAATACGAAAGGATCTTCTTCTGATGTGCACAAACCTTTAAATAGCAAACTCACTAAAATCGACGTAGAGAATCATGAGAAAAAAACGGATAAGAATTGATAGCGAGATGTCTTGTCCTAAGGTTGTCATGCTCTTCAGCATGCCGCTATGTACGATTAACTTCCCATCAGCCTCACGAACCACAGCGCTACCCAACTGCAATTAATTTGGTTTAACGCGTTAGTAAATGTTAGTGTTCGCCCTATAAATGTCTATCCAGCCGTTTTATAGTATAAAGTGTGGCGGAGTATAAAGTGAGTCGGCATTTACCCCGAAATACATTCGCGCAGATGCCCAGAGACTGCAGATTGATCGCGGAAGTAATGAGTGGCGTTCCCACCGATCCTGTCAGCCCCACAGCCGGCTGCACGTCGTTAAACATGAAGATAAAGGGCTTCACTTTACATGCATGTTTTGGGCTTATTGTTCGGCTGAAGTCCGGCTGTATGTGATCCTATCGCGTGGCAGAAGTCCAAGCGTTAACCGCGCATTTAGAAACAGCTTCATTGAGTCCCAAAGTTATGGATGCCGGGAGACTTTGCCGCTGCCATCAGTGTAAGTTTTGTCTGCCCTGTGTGGGTATTGGTCTACTCATCATTTGTCGTCGTGTGTTTAAACAAAAGCTCATAACCAACTCATAAAAAAGGCATCGTCTCGCCCCTCAATTGCAAATCGTTAGCAAAGTTACAATTTGACGGTCCTGGTCCTGGTTAATATTGACGTTTTAATCTATATACCAATTGCCGTAATTAATATATGAATAAACTACATGATAAAGGATGCAACAAAGAGAGAGATGGGGGGAGAGAGACACGCACAGCCTTGAAAGTACCGGCAACAGTGTTTGCCGTGGTAGTTATAATTATGTAAACAAGTAGCCAAGACTCTGACAGGAATTAGCAGTGGCAAATGCTAGAAATCTACAGCACAAGGTATACTGTCCGTGCCTACAGTACCAGTAACGTTACACTGTATGGAAGAGACAGTTCGTTTACTGTTTCCTATGTCAACAGCATAAGACACTGTTGTGGGGCGGCTTCCTTTGAAAAGTAAAGAAGTGTAAATAACTTGTGGTAACTATGGCAACGCCAACTTCATTGCTAAACTCTTTATGAAGGTCTAACGATTGTATTTCCAAAGTAACAACGCTCAGTATAGGACCATTTGAGTCGTCGTATCTACATATACATTTTCCGCACTGCTTCTTCAAGAATCGGGCAGTCAAAGTTACTATCTCGGGTCCTACGATACATTATACAGCGGATCGAAAGACCAAGATCGAGGACTGGATCACGCACCTCCCTCAAAGCCTTACCCTATCCATGAACCGGTCCGATAACAAATTTCTCCAGGACTTTGGCAGTGAAATACGGGGGCAAAAATAGACATCAGACGTTGGGTTGCTTTTACTAGCAATTGAAGTGCCATTGCCGGGCCCATATTTCAGATTGCTGACGGCACTTTGGGTAATACGTGTTGTGCCGCGGCTAATCTATCGACGTGGCGCGCCAGGTGCGAGCCCCGATATCGGGATGTGCCGTTCATCAGGCAGCGGTGCCAGAGGGGAGAGGTACAGCATCAAACATGGATTTCTGCTCGGGATGGATGAGAGTTGGGGTTAATAATCTCACAGCCGGTGTGTAGTACATTTACCCCGATGTAGAGACTGTCCCATCAGAACGTCTGATAAGAGATGACCGGGTGTGCTGGCCAGGAGGACGCGCTCCATTGCCTCCAACCCCAGAGGAGCTGACATCGCCTACACCCCGTGAGGGGGCCAGATGTTGGAAAGTCCCCGCCAGATCCCATTCAATTACCCCGCCATACACACAAAACGCTCTCATCTTCTGCCGCTCTACCTGACAGCTGACTGGAAACCTGCACTATAATTTCAGTTCGAAAGCACGTAAAACTATACGCCTTCCCACTGGAATCCACATTTATCTATCATCTATTTATCAAACAAAGTAGCTATTGATACACGAGGTCCCACCTGTAGTTCTAAAGAAAGATTCACATCCCATTCCCATTAATTATGGTGTGATCTCTGGAATCAAGAAGCAGGTAAGTGCCTCTGCACACGTACCTTGAAGCCCGTACCACAGGTGCAGCAGCAGCAGGTACGTGCACGCCAGGCTCCGCGCTTTTCTCCCGGTCATGGTGGAACGACCCGTGAGTTATCACGTCTGTACAGATCACGGGGTTCCCACGGAGTACAGTTCCGGGGCCGGCAGCCTGCTCGGTCGCTAGTTCTCTCAACCAGCCGCCCTGGAATGGAGTATGTCAGCCCGCCCCAGTGTAGCGAGTACACCAGTCATCAATACGACCTGTTCCTGAATACGCACCCCTCTCGCCAGGAGTGGCACGGTCCAGCCGTCACCTTAACGTCACAGACCGGTGAGGATCCGCCAGTGTTGATCTTCTGGCTGAACCAATTAGGAGACGGCTGGCTTCACAAACGAACGCGTTAGGAGGAAAGTACCGACAGTACTGCTCTCCTATCAAATATTGGATTTGCTCCACCTGATATACCCCCATCGTTCATTATGAGGGGTTCGCCATTAAAGTAATGATGATCCCATACCAATGGGCAGTTTGTCCACCCATGCTGAACCAGAGTCACCACTGCCCACCTCTGTCCACGGCAGGTAGTCTTATTCCACTCATTAACATTAAATGGAAGTTTCTGCAGATGGCCACTGCAGCTATACTTGGACAGTAGATGGAGGGCAGGAATTGAGAAAATGATTCACCTCAGCAACCAAAAAGATCGTTAAAGAAAATTGGCTCCAAAATGACAGCCCCCCAAACGACCCAGCCTATAGTCGAAAAATAATCCAGTCTATGGCCCAAAAGTGACCCAGTTAACAGCCCAAAATATTATCTGTTGTAAAGTTCTGTATGACCCATACAGAGTAAGGCCTAAAATGACCCCGGGTATGGCCCCAACATGACCCAGTGTATAGTATAGTGACGGCCCAAAACTACCCGGTGTACGATCCAAGAATGGCCCAGTGTGCGACCCAAATGGCCCAGTGTACGGCCCATAAAAGGCCGATTGTACGGCCAAAAGTGACCTAGCGTACGGCCCAAAATGACCCACTGTATGGCCCAAGCATGACCAATTGTACGGCCCCACAAACGGTCCAGTGCACGGCCCAAAACTGACCGAGTGTGCGGCTCACAAATAGCCCAGTTTTCTACACCACCTCATCCAGACCGTTTCCCTGCCAAATGTGCCCATTTTCCTGGCGGCGCATCGGACGGCGAGTCGGTCCATATGGTCGGCTGCTCCTCAGGTCCGCCTACTTTAATAACATCACGGAACGGTTCATTACGCGTATGGAATTAAAACTGTCACGAGACGCCAGACAGCAGGTTACCTGAACTCCATGATAAAAAGAGTCCGAAGGAACAAAACATACAGCGTAATGGTGGGATTGGGTTAAGGTATGAAACATCCGTCCTAGACATCTCAGACAATAAAACGCATCTTATGCGTTGGATGTTCGCCTTAGATCGGCAAAATTTTGATTCACACAGCTGCAGAAACATCCACCATATTTACTTGGCAAAGCATTTTTAAAAACCTAACAGATCAACGAGCTCGAGCTTTTTAAGCAACCTTAGGCATGGATGCCGTTTAAGCTGAGTAGGCCACAGGGATGTGAAATAGTGTAAACGCATATGACAGAAATATGCGATACCATGTTGATAGAATTTCTGTAAATGAATCAGTGAGGGTAAGCTCAATTCACATGGTGATTTGACGGACGTGTAATGAAGTGTAGTTGGGGGAATATTTCCCTGCTTGTTTCCTGTGCTTTAAGTTTAATAATAATAATAGATTTCCCCTGGTTGTGGTCTCAAAGGGATATCCCCAGGTCAAAAGCCACGGCAGAAGGAAGTGTACATTGCGACGTGAATACGCATTAGAACCATGGGTTACAGAAAGATGTCACGTACACCAACACACGGATGTACGTGAGTAATCCGTGTAACTGTACCCAAGTTTGTCGTCGTGGTAAAACAGAATTCTGCTCTCTGTGCACGGGATGACTTTTAATGCAGTATTGAGTGAACAATATATAGAGTATAGAGTGACAAGCCCGGAGTTATCCACATCAATTTCACATGGTGTTTCATCCGGATCCGTTCCGCAGAATTCTGTGTTCTGTATTTGTTACCTTTGTAAGCATGTTTCGGTTCCGCTTGGAGATTACTTGAGGTGATATACAGTGTAACATGATTTATAGATTTGTAGTTTCATAATTAATGATTAATTGTCAGACCAGTGCAAATATGCTAGTGCCGATAGACTATGTATGAAAAGCACAAAATATGTCTGTTTTGTTTTAACTAACGTGTTGTGTACAATTGTCAACCTTTGTGAATAACAAAATGTACCCTTGAAATGCCCCTAATTTGCCCACACCGCCTATGATGTTGTTCACATCCATGGCAGGCGGTGACCATGTGAATTAAGGTGCAATAGATGAGGTCACCGACCGTTATCATTACTACAAACAACATGTGATGGAAACTACATCACTGAAGGCAAACATTGAAAGTACACGATTGAGGAAACACACGATCCTGCTCTTGACAGCGTAACACAGTCTACTCAGTTTGAGTGAGTGTCAGTCAGGAAAGAAATCGGTGACGGCACCGAGAGGACGAAAAGAGACCTACAAAAACTGTTCGAAAAAGTTGATCCCCTGGAAAAAGTCGTGCGGATTATTCTGAGTGACGTCCAGAAGGATATATCAGAGTTGCCGTCGTGTTATCGGAGGGGGCAGCTGTGGCGGAAATCAGAGATCATGGCAAAAGCAGGATGCTTACAGACCAAAGTAATGGTGGACGCATCGAAATGCTCAGTTAAAGTAAAGCCGGCCGTTGTAAAGATTTCAAATGTGGTCTTTCTTATTGCAGCGGACAGTAAAGGACGTCCGGGTAGAGTTGTTCCTAAAGATGACGTCACAGCCACCCTGACGGATCCCTCGGGCCAGGCGGTACCAACACAGCTGCAGAGGAGCGAACGCGTGTGGGAAATCTCCTACACACCCGAGGTCACCGGAAACCATAGGTTAGACGTCAAGGTTAAGGGTTGGCCTGTGGCTGGAAGTCCGTATGACGTCAGAGTTCAAAGCTGGGACTCCCTAGTCTTAACCATTGGAAAAAAAGGAAGTGGGAAGGGAGAACTTTCCGACCCCGCAGATGTAGCTGTGGATATGGATGGTAACATTGCAGTGTTGGAGAGGGGGAACCAGAGGGTTCAGGTATTCAATGCCAAGACTGGCCAGTCGCTTCGGTGTTTCCCGGTGGAGGGTGACGGCCCATGTTGCATAGACACTGACTCCAATGGGCAGTTTATTGTGACGTCAGGAAATGTTAACACTGGCAAACAAGCGATCCAGGTTTACTCGCGGGAAGGAAAACTTACAAAGACCCTTAAACCCGACTTTTTGGGAAGTCCGCGTGGAGTTGCAGTTCTGACGGACGGCCGCTTGGTGGTGGCGGACAACATTGTGACCAAGAATCAGAAGTCGTGACTCCTCCTGCAGCCTGACGGGAGCCTCATCCGGGACATCGGTCAGAAGCAGTTACAGTACCCATGGTTCATAGCAGTGGACGAGTCACGTGGCCTTCTCTTTGTCACGGATCCTCATAAAGTGTTTGTGTTTGACCTTGATGAGAAGCTGAAGTTCAGCTTTGGTAAAGAGGGGCGGAAGGAGGGAGAGTTGCTATATCCATCAGGGATAACACTAGACCCGGCAGGTAACATTATTGTAGCGAACTACCATAACCGCCGCCTGCAGGTGTTCAGGCCTGACGGCACGTTCCTGAGCACTGTGGACATAGTGGATGGAGGACACCCCTTTGGAATCGCGCTGACACTGGATAACCACATCGCTATAGCATGTAAACACACACATTGCGTGCAGTTGTACAGGTACAAGTAACCTCGCTTAAGTCACACCCCTAATCTTGTGCATGTTCTACGTATACCAAGGTATCAAAACAAGGCCGAACAGTTTACTGTTACTGGTAATTTTACTGCTTTTTCCTTCAAGAAGGTCAGTGGGTGCCAACGAAGTATTGAAATCAAACGTGTCTGTACGTTCGCAGCTGTAAAATCACGATCCCCTTGCTGCATTGGTATGCAGTTCAGCATGTCATCTGCTAGTAAGTTCGAGATGATGAACGTTTTTTTCTACTTTAGCAGTTTTCATAGGTTATATAATACAGTAGAATACATGTATTTCAGAAAACACACATATCTTGATTGGCTTGTGGAACAGGTCATTGATTTCGTTGGCTTTTGTAGCAGTGCGCTATGCGCTAATAAGGTTTTCTCCAAGCAGATATTGGGTGATTTGTGCGCCATTACCGTGATCGATTTGTACACGTTGTTGTTACGTTCACTGTAGTAGCGTCGTGGCGGAAGAACATCTATTGGTGTTTAGTATGTGTGTGTATTTTATACAACAGCAGCAATTGTCGTGCAATTAGATTGTTTGTAGTGAATGACGAAAATGTTTATTAAACATAATTTTATTTGTCCGTTCATCTCATCGTGTATTTGATATCAAGTAAATGACTAGATGACAGATGACATCGTCTTCAGAACTAGGATATCAAACAGTGCTTAGGCCACACTGAAGAGCATGTTAACCTCACGGAGACATCTGTCTATTGACCATCGGGACGGAGATCAAACGCATTAATCAAATGACATGGACAGCAGTTTTACTTGTACTGGTTTAATTAATCAATCAATCGCCATGGTGATGACACAATACATTCATGAGTTTCCCGGAGAGATCTGTTCAACTGCCCCGCATCCAGCCACCCAGGTGTGTTAAAAACTGCCCAACAAGTTCAAAATCTTAATTACATCACTTGAAGGCTGTTTATGTTATATTAAGTATACATATAGACAACAGTATATAGTTTGACCTCAATAATGGAAAATGTAAATGACCAGATAAAATATCACTTTGTTATTTTAGTATTGTCATCTCTTTCTTCTTTTTGAATCATACTTTGTTTCATGGTTTTCCAACGTAACAAAAATGTCCTGTACCAACCACAAAGTTTTATTACATAGTGAACATTGATTACGGTTAGGTCACAGAAGGGACATTTTCCATATTTCTACAAAGTCTGCATTTTGGCCAACTAATTCATCGGTATATGACTTGGAGATTCGGTGCGGAAATTCTATTGTTAATTGTCATTTCTGTAAGTTCATTTATCATATTTCATTCCCATTGGAATGATGTTGAACAGCAGAAGTACAGGAAAAGTCCCATTTCTATTTCCAGACATCCCCACTTCTGTATGTCAAAATACCACTAGTGAAGCTTCAGATTCAACAAACTTCAGAACACAAAGGGTCAGTCTCTTGACGGTTCTCAGTCAGATAAAAATGCTCTGTACTATAATGTCTCCGTGCTTTACTGTGTGTTATCTACAAATTTGAATGTTCTATTCTACTAACCAGTTTGTAAGCTTGACTCTCTTTATCTACTACTGTTAGACTCCTGTGTTAAAGGGGCATCATGAAGTTTACCCTCATACTCAACAGTTTATACACATTTTATGCTTGTATATACAACGCGTTGGTTCTAAAAACTAACATTCTAAAATTCCTTACTAAAATGTTATATTTTGAACGATGCCTTCAAGTTTATAAACGGAAAAAAGTCCCAGCAATATGTACATGACAAACTTAAACTAAAAAACGTATGTTCAAGACAGCTCGTCAATAAATGTAAATGTCTGTATAAAGAAAAAAAAGATAACAACAAAGTCAGTTCCATTACTTAAAATCAGTTTATAAATACCTTATGCTTGCTACATTTTGTACAGCCTGCCAAAGATGAAGTAAACAGCAATATTTGCACTCAAAAGTTCTAGAGTTTAGCCCTAATTGTACAGTAAGATCCATCCGATGGTGTAGTGAGAGGTACCAATTCCGCTTCACATGTTCACACCAAACACAGATCCTCTGGTTTCCTTACCAGTTTCAGTAACCGGGCCAAGTCCTGGGGCAGCTATGTTAGCCCTACCAACACCAGGAACAGGTATGTTAGCGCTGCTTAGATCAGAGACAAGTGTGTTAGCAATACTCGTAACAGGGACTGGTGTGTTGGCCCTACCCACAACAGGCACATGTCAGGGACGGGTGTTAGCCCTGCCCATACCAATGACATGTAGCCCTACCCAGACCAGGGACAGGCGTGTTATTAGCCCTTCCCATATTAGGGACAGATGTGTTGGTGTTGTTCAAATATCTGCGTCAGAGATCTGGCAAAGATCGCCTCTGTTTGTTCATCAGTTGGCGAGGTGCCAGCAGCTGAAAATTGAACGCACAGGTCCGCCATGTTCGTTCTTCTGCAGTCATGATTTTCCAGGGAACGTGAAGAAGCGCCCCCTGGCGGCTACTCATCCTCGGCTAGGGTGTTGCCGAACAGCAGCGGCTGCAGGAAGAGGCCGAGCGTGCCGATAAAACACACCGACACAAAGGTCCACAGGAAGATACGGTCGATCACCATGGCGACGTACTTCCAGTCCTCTGATATCTGTAGATAAACAGGAACGTTGTAGAGGTAATATAGTGTGTAGTAGTATAGCAATATAGTAATATGTTCAAGTTTGGGTGAACTGTGAGGATTTATGTATGTACATAAAGCAACACAATGACAATAACACAAGTGAACCCTTGTTTTAGAATTGTACCAGCAGCCAAATACCGTTCTACCACATAGTGACATCTGTGTCCTTACTATGCATATATTTAGTAGTACATTATTAGTAGTACAAAACCTCGGAGACGTATCGAAGTACAGGAAAGTACGTGGAATCTTATTTATGTTTATGATGTAACTTTCTTACTCTAGGTTGTTCAAGGAATATCGTGTTCATGTCCTCACCAACAGGTTAAAATTACTCTTTATGTCTAGTCACTTAGTGTAATTTAAACTTGAAAAATCATGCTATATTGTTTGGTTTAACCATCTCTCTTTAAACTGACACAAAGTGACGCATTTGTTGTCCACCGATGACGCGCGGATAATAAGAGCGATCAGCCTGGTCTTGAATTGGACCGATCGATCTGTCAAGTATGCCTCAACCAAACGGCAGCCTAAATGAAAAGAAATGCTTTTCATCAGTTATCGCCCGTTCGCAGCGCTTTTATAGCCTCGCTGTGGCCAGAATTAATTGATGATTATGTCAGAGAATGCGGCCAGTTCAATTCCAGGCAGCCGCCTGCGTGTGGAGGGCGTTAAGCAGGCTGGTTGGGACCCACGGCACGTCCGGGCTGACAACTGAATGTTACGATAAAGGTTCTGGAGCCTTCAGCAGCGGCTGATAGCATCAGAGCTAAGGCCCAGGCTGGTGTTCGTGCTCATCAGCCCCCTTTACTGATTATATGAATAAACGGATGGATGGATGGATGGATGAATTGAATGGATGGATGGATGAATTGAATGGATGGATGAATTGAATGGATGGATGGATGGATGGTTGGATGGATGGATCGTATAAGACACCAGTAGGAAATACAAAATGTTAATTAGTATATAATTTTGTGATCCTGATAAATATTTATTTCCAAAAATGATTATGATCAACGATCATTCTCGGGATCACGAATCAGAAAATGACGATACCAAAACCATAAAGATCCAGAAGCTGTCATATAATAAGTAAATGTTAGCGCATATTTGTTATCAGTGCAAAATAGACAAACCACTATAATACTGCCTCCCGTCCACCAATAACTGTTACCCATCCGCGAATGACTGCCCCAATCGCCCAATGGCTGTTGCCCATTCAATGACTGTCATTCAATGAATACCCAATGGCCGCTAACTGCCTTTCATCCGCCAATGGGTATCACTTATCTACCAATGGTTGTCGACCATCGGCTAATGGCTGTACCCATTAACCAATTGATGTTGCCTATTGTCCAATGCTCCTCCCCCCTACATTGGCCAATGAAAACCTCGTGTTTATGTCAGTTCCGGTTGGCCTTGACCTATGTTCAACTGCAGGCAGACATGCATAGACGAATCTAATGGAATGAGTTGCTTTTTGTATGTCATGATTGTAGATGCCGAAACTACCCAAAAGGATCTTAGCCGCAATGAGAGAAATAATTATGAAATAAACTTTTTAACATGAAAAATATTTACAGCCACCAATTGAGTGACTGCTCCAGTATTGATATTTGCGCTTATTTGTGATCCTCCCCCGGCGTGCATGCCAAGTACAGCGGCTTGCCATGTTACAAATCTGTCCGCTGCAGGAACCAATTTGGGAAGGAACATAAATTCCCGGCGGCTAGCTAGCTGATCGGGAGGCGCTGGAGCAATTTCCCCCAGCAGCCCCCGCGCCAAATGATGCATAATGTACCGGCAGGCCCCGCGCCAAATGATGCATGATGCTTATTGATCCAAAACTCCACATGAACCCTGAGATGGGAGTCTGTGGGCAGGAAATACCACCGGCACGGATGTCAGCACGTTCAAACATATCTTCAAATTGCCGCTGTCGGCCGGACGAGTAAAGAAAGATTAATTTTGCGGATTGGGGGGCATGGAACAGTTCTATAACTCAGTTGTAAATAATAAAGGAAATTGTCGGCGAGAAAACGGGATTAATTGTTGATCAATATCAAAATAATCTTCAGCGTTGCTCATCAGAGATCGATCAGACTCAATGATATATGAATATAAGTTGACATTAAGGAATTAATTCTGCTTGAACCATGAAATTACGCCGTTTTTTACGGCATGAAAGAAATCTTAACAGGGGAGTCGTTTCTGTTGCAATGTTATGTGATTAACGCCTGAACAGACGTCAATATCCGACAGCGAACGTCTCCCTCCACGATAGGTCTGTTCGCGGATGAGTGGCCTCTGATCTGAGTTCCAATAATTCCACACCAGTAAGCACTTCTTACGCCGCAGCACTTCCCGTGACAACAATCAAGGATTATATTTTGGAAAATTACTTCCGCTGACTTGGAAAGTTTGTTTCGAAATGTCAATTGACTGGTGAAGTACGGCTTACGAGTAAGTTGCTGATTGACAGACTGTTGTACACCAAAACGCAACCCAAAACAGGGACTCTGACACATGGTTCGCATCTCAAATGTTAGAAGCGATTTTGTCAACATGTCACGTAGCGTCATTCAGTTTTCAGATCCTGTCAATTTCAAGAAATCAATCTTTTTACTTCATGTTGACCAAACCCGGCACTCTTCTGACGTGTAATTTTGTTAACTTGCCCGAAGACAGCTTACTTCGTGAAGCATACGATGTTTTATATTCTGGTAAACACGATTGGCTTAACCACGTAAATGACATTCTGAATTACAATGGTCTTGGACAATTCTGGACGAGCCCCGGGTCATACCAAGTGGATACGATAACCAATCAATTACGATCCCGCCTTCAAGATATATATATATACAAAAATGGTATAATTCTATTAGTAACAACGCAAAACTTTCTGTTTATACCGCATTAAAGGAAAATTATGGACAAAAACAATACCTCTCAAGTATACACAATCTAGATATCCGAAAAGCGATCACAAAATCAAGAATTAGTTGTCATAAATTAAACATAGAAATGGGTCGATACAAGAAAATACCAAATGACCAACGGTTCTGTCCATTTTGTCCAAACATGATTGAAAATGAGCACCATTTTATAATGGATTGTACACTCTACAATGATAAGCGCCTATTGCTGTTCACATTTCTTTCCGCTTGTTCAATTGATTTCAATACGTTAGATCCTATAGATAAATGCAACTACATTCTCAGGGGAGATAACCAATACAGTGTTCAAATAGGAAAATACATTAAAGAATGTTTCGATCTTAGAGAACACATGTTAGAGAATAGTTAACCTTTATTGTTACATCATACATATACTCTGTACGTAAGATGACGTTATCCACACATGTATTTAGCTTTGTTAGATCTTCAGTTAAGTTGTAGAAGACCATACAAAAGTCTCTGTACTTTATTGTTGTGTCAATAAGAATCAGCCTGTATTTCCTGCTAACCAAACCTCACACTCTTCTGACGTGTTAGAGACCATCTTACGGAATCAGCCTGTATTTCATGTTGACCAAACCCACACTATTCTTACGTGTTAGAGACCATCACATGGAATTGGCCTGTATTTCATGTTGATCATGACGTGTTAGAGATGGCAGATGGCATCAGCCTGTGTTATTTCATGTTGACCAAACCCAATACTGTATTGATGTGTTAGAGACAATCTCAATGAATCAGTCTGTATTTCATGTTGACAACCCCCACCCTTTTCTGACGTGTTAGAGACCACCAAACAGAATCAGCCTGTATTCCATGATGACCAACCCCCACACTCTTCTGACGTGATATACACTATCTCACGGAATCTCAAAACCAATCTATGGTGACCTTGGCGGAGTTTGTCGTCACGGCGGTTCCGTGGAGGGGGGGGTCGTCTCGCGTTTGATTACTTCCTGTGTTTCATCCCCCCGCGGAAGGCGTGGGGAAACAGTCACGCATAAACCCGCCCGTAATCAGGGATCGTGACTGATGGCTGGGATTAGGTGAATATAGGGCATTGGTCTGTCAGCAGCCATTCGACATGGGTGTAAATCATGGCCAGTTCAATTACGGGTCCCTCAAAATGGGACACCTTCGAAAAAATGTTCATGAAATTCTGATTCACAGGAAGGACTTCTCAGATTTTCCAAGAGTTACAGACATTGGCAACATTCTCAACATTAATAGAAATATGAGAAATACTTCTAATGCTGTCACCTGAGGTCCGGATCCAACGATTGAGCTCAGAAAACAGACGCAGATCCTTTCCCTCACTATTATTAAGATAGCCTCAAGGTGCTCCCCTGCTCTGTCGATTGTAAAAAGTGTTTGTTCTTTTGATTTAACTGTTTCAATCCCTCCATTATAACAATCCGTTGGATTGATTTGTTTAAACTGTGTACTTGTTTGTGTTAATATGACGTATGAAATAATCAGCAGTCGTTGCATTATATTATTTTCCGGAGGTTTTGGAATCTAAGATTTCCTGTTTATAATTTCTAATTGATTAGTCTCATAATTTAGCCCTGTGTCTGCGGGAATGTCTTGCTATCTTGAGGACAGTTCTTGAAAACCAGTCGTCAAGTTACATAAAGGGAAATAAAACTACACTTACGCTGAGGTCTTGGTCGTGACTCCGGAAGTAATCCGCAATGTATCTGACGTTTTTCACGGCCTTTTTCAGCTCTGGTGGTAGATCTGAGGGCACCTCAGGTGGCAGGTCGACCTGCTTGTAGTGCGTGTGTGCCGGGCGTGTCCGTGGGGAGTAGTACGGGCTGTCCGTGTGGTCCTCTGGGAAGTCCTCGTGAGGGTTCCGCGCGCTCGACTCCGACACACGCAACGCGTACTTTCGGCACTGGTTCTCGTACAAAATGGCGGACTTTGCTTTCAAACACGTGTCGCTGTCGTCTGCGTCCACGTGATTTCCCAGCATGCTTGCGGTTTCCGTGCGGTGATGTAGCGAGGACGTGGAATGGTGGAGGAGGCTGGAGGGAGGAGTGGATAGAAAAGGCTGCGGGGGGTCCCACACGTCCACCGTGCTGAACCTGCGGTGCAACACCGGCCTTTTCATCAGTAGCAGCCTGGGCAGTTTGTCCAGGAAAACCGTTCTGACCCAGGGCGGCATCGTGTGCGTGCTGGGGTGACGGTGGTGAACGTTCAATATGTACACTGTCGTGACTATTGTGAAGGTGACGAAAATCATGGTGAACATGATGTACTTCCCGATCAGCGGCACGTCCAGAGAAGTCGGAGGGATGATGTCTGCAATCAGCAGCAGGAACACAGTCAGGGCCAGCAGTACGGAGATGCTGAGTGTGATCTTCTCCCCACAGTCGGACGGCAGGTAGAACACAAGCACCGACAGGGACGTGATGAGGATACACGGGATGATCAGATTAATGGTGTAGAACAGCGGCCTTCTCATCAAGATGAAGTCAAAGTAAACATACGGAAGTGGATCTCCAGCATAAGAACTTTTTCTGCCAGGCAACCTGAGGATGTCCCACTCGCCGTTCTTCTTGAAGTCATCCATGACGGCATTGCGGTCCTTCAGCTCCAGGTCCAGCTCTGTGCCGTCGTACGTCCAAGACGCGAACTTCATGGAGCAGTTCTGCTGGTCGAACGGGAAGAAGCGCACGTCGATCTGACAGGCGCTCTCGTATATGGCAGGTGGGATCCATGTGATGTTCCCTCCGGAGTAGATCAGGCATTTCGGCATCAGTTGGACGTCATACTGGCCGTTAGCACTGAAATGTGCAGGCATAGATAAGCATTGTAACACTCGTATTCATAGATAACAACGCCATATTAACACTCAAACCACCGTACAAGGTCAAAACTTACCCCATGCGTATATGAATATGTGCCATTTTGACATTTGTTGTCGAAAACGAAATTCCTTCTACAAGTTTGTTGGTAACATTGGTAACAAGTTGGTAACAAGTTTGTTGGAGATTGGAACATTGTTGATTGAGTTATCCTAGAAAGTTCCATTGGGGTCAAAACTGATCCCATCATTTTTAACCGTTGTTTTAACACATGCGAGTCTTTTGTTGCCAATTTTTCTTCCAGGTAATATGTTTGATTGAGTTTTCTGCTCCCATTCGAATTACCTTAACATGTTGACTCTGTGAAAACTTTGTGACCCTAGACCTAGTTGCCTATGAACTTGGGATCAAAGGTCATCGGCATGGCTGCCTGAAGTCATGTTGTTTCAGGTGCATAAATTATGATAATGAGCAGAAATCGTTCACACTTAATTATGTCAAATTGTCCCTCATAGATTAATAAAAAATGTACATACTTAAAAATCACAAAATATTTCAGTTCAGTTTTCACCCCATACGGTAAGATTCGTTGCAAAACCCTACGGTGGTTTGAGGGTTGATGGGGGGAGCTATGACATACATTGTAACAGCCCGGCAATTTTTTGTAAGATATAGTGCAAAGGGTATGGCAAGTTCGCTACATCACACTCCTTGCCACTCCACTTACTTGTTGAAAAGAACAATTTCTGGTCTCCAGACAATTTCTGACGGGACCCGGATGACTTTGATGTTGTCATACTCCTTAGGGTCCCAGGACAGTCTGTAGTCAAACCACTCCTGCATGGGGGAAGGAACAGACGGTTATGCTAGGGACCTCGTGAACATTGACATTATAGTTCCAAAATTAGAACTATAATAGAAAAATTGGTTCACATGTATATCTTCAGTTTTCACACTTCAATATACAATTTCCCTGTCTACTCACAATCACAAAACAATGCACCAGAGTGTTGAATTAGTATAGATTCTGAAATGCCATTTATGACCATACATTCACCTTACCAAACCCAAATTAAAGAAAATGGAGTATAACATGATAGCATGGAAAAGTCTTTGTAATTCTTCAATCTAAAATGTGACACAAAATAACCCTACATATACCGGGATGAAGAGAACTAAGTAAGAAAAAGCTAACCTGGTGAAGCCAGACGTTTGTTTTCATTTTCTGGTTCTTCTCGTCCTGGAATGAATGAAGTTGCGATTGTTAGTTAACTACAGTATCTTTATATTTTGCAGGAAGAAGCTGCCCAAAATCGACCTTAACCTTTGTCTTTGCAAGGACAACCCACATACCAAATGCCAATGTAATTCATCCAGATCTTCTTAGGTTATACTGATGTCCGGGAACACACACACACACACACACACACACACACACACACACACACACACACACACACACACACATACGCACTCAAAATAACACTTCCATTTTCATGGAGGTAATCATTCGATCTGACTGGATTTGGTTTGTCGATTTCACAGATGAAAATACATTGCGATGTCGGCCTCCACAATGAACGCTTTTCACTTTCGGGATCGTCTATATCACCTACAGCCTAGCGCCTGCAGCGATCGATATGAAAATGTAATACGGGAGGCCCTCTCCCACCGGGCCCCACACTCCAGCTTACTGGCACACCAGGTAGCTTTATATTTAGTGGTAAAATACAAACCATTGCAGCATCAATACAGTCTTTTCAACTTTCGTTACGGGATAAATTCCATGTGCTCCTCATAAGTATATTTCCGTCTGTACGACGACAACACTTGTGATTGACTTACAAATGGGACGGTAGGTAAACAGCGTTGAAATTAGAATACCCAAAATCCAAATGGACTTCTACTGATGACATGGTTTCTCTTAGACAAGACTTTACCCCGTTTAACCGTCCCTTCATGACGTCCCATGCACTACCGTGGCACGGAATAAGACACATAGATTAAGTGCCACTTAGTCGTATCGTTGATAAATCCAACTAAAATGGCAAGGGACGCATCGGATACGCAATATTACCTGCTCGCGCCGGTAATAGGTTAATCCCTCAATCTGTGATATTAGCTATTGACTGTTGAATATGTTGATACGTTAATACTCTATTGGTATTATCAACTATCCCTTACCAGCTTGTTGCGTTATAACTGGTGATGATATTGGTTTTAAACTGCTAACAATGTGTCTAACTTAAAACGATGAAAGAAGAATGATACTGGTTACTCTCTAGGTTAATAAGTCAGGATTATTGATGGCGTAGTTTACTCACCACGTTAATGAGTTGAGAGATGGACAGACGGAAGTGGACCAGGACTTTCTCGCCGTTATACCTGGCAGGTCGGATCAGCGGGTTGTAGCGGGACTCGTTGAACAGCCTCTGGACAAGCCGCTCCTCCGCCTCTGCTGCCAGCGTTTCTGCATGGGGAACAATAAGACAAGTAAACAGTGTGTCACATATATACACCAAACTCTCGGTATGCGTCAAGAATGAAGCCAGATTCAGGCTAATATGATATAAGAGCATTCCAGTAGCAAAGCATCTACTGATCAACGAAAAAGAAAAGAATCATATCTCAGCACAAAAGGGTGTTTTCAAACAACAATTTTGAAAACAAAGATCTGATGATTTTGAGGCGATCCCATAATCCATTTCCTCCTTTCTGTGGGTGTAAGGCCATTGTTTGAGCTTCACGCAGCTTTGAGATGATCCCTCCCTCTGACATTTAGCCTGTATATGATGTTAAGCCCGAGCCATCCATCCCATGCAGCTACGTGCAGCTTTGAGATGATCCCATACTTTAACATTTAGCCTGACCCATCCATCTGAGCTACAGTTAGAGCCGGTCGCCCAATAACCTGAAGGGCAAGCGACATCTCCTCTGATTACGTTTTATCTTCACCTTGACCTCCTAAACATCAATCTTCTATTGAATCACGCGGCCTCCCAGGAGTGTCGTTTATATCACAAGCCGCAGAAGCCGCCGTGAAATTGCATGGTTTAAATGTCACTGATTCTTATCAAGAAGATACGAATGTCATTATTTTATGTGATCAAGGCAAGAGAGTTAGAAATGTTCAAAATCCATCTTGCGTTAAGGTCATCATACGCATGTTTCAGCTTGGGTCCCGTAAGAATACATTACATTTACAAACGAATGGCAGTAGAACGACAAAATGTGGCACAACTGAGTGCCCAGTACTACAGCCACAGTGGAGTTGTACATACCTGGATACTGGTTAAAGAGCCATTCAATATTCGCATCACTCTATTCATTTAAGACCAAACATATTGATTTATTGCATTTGGAAATGCTGCATGGAGTAATGACCTTGAGGCTTTGAGACTTAATTCAGAAAATTCCATTGACACTGAAATATCAAAAATATCCCGAGAAAAATATTTTTTGTTACAATATTGCCTGCATGCAGAATGAGGTTTGTATCGTTGAACCATCGAATCTACGAGACCTGTTCCCACACGGAAAGGCTGCTAGTGCCGAGAGAGGATAAAATTGCTCTTTATGCCCAGTCCTCCACCGGTAGGACTATTCGAAACGTTTCACAGTCAGTCGTTATCCTGTCCTAGTGTCAGTAACGACAAAGTATATACTGAGTTCGATGTGCACAATATAGTGGCTAGGAGTATATGTAAGCTAGCTAGTAACAGGAACAATTTTTTCTACTAAGCTATAAAAATACAGAATTATTCGGTTCGCAGTTCCTATGATAGAGTTTATTGGATGACTGTGCGATCAGTGGTGTTTGTGTTTTCCTGAGACTTACAGGTGGATGGGACAAGACATTGCCAGGTTCAGGATACCATAGAGTGTGAGGTATTCGTCACTATGAATGCTCGATGTAGGTGGGGCTGTGTGGGGTAGTCAAGGGATAACAAAAGATAATCTCCAACCAAATCGTTTGTAGGTTGGAAGACAATACAAAATTGTCAAGACTGTATCATTGGCAGGGCAGTATCCAAACCAGGCTGGCGGAGGAAAGATACCAGTACAAAATAAAGCCCGATAAAACGCCCGTAAGACTAAACCTCTAGCTCTGCTTGGTGAGTACACAGAAGGGACATTGTGATCAGTGTGCGACTGACGTATTCAGGCTGAAAGGTCATAAATGCGCTCTGAGGCTCAAGTCTGTGTGGGCATGGTAGACGGACATACACATGCTCCGGCCGTATCTGCCTTTATTTGATCATTTAAAAACGCAGGCAGACATACATAATAAACATACATGAATATTGCCAGCATTGAGGCTGTGCGTATATCATTTATAACATATCGTATTCATAGAATCATTAATAAGTGACCATGCAGTAAAATTCATCGACATCATCTCCAATTACTGACGTATGATAGCTTTAATTCAGTCGGATGTGCCATAAAAGTGGATCAGGGTAATGATGATAACGTACAATGAGTGAGGAACACACGCGGATGTCCTGAATCCATCCCTCCTAATGTAAACATGACAATGCTGGGGCAGCCTTCCCCGGGCACGCTGGAAAAACATCGATCGACAGTGTCCATCTTGATAACGTCTATATCCCGAAATTAGATCTCAAACTAAGGAAGGCAGTTGGATCATACATGACCGGGGCAACTTCGTCAGGCGAATTACCGGATGTGGATAAAAAAAAAACATCTAATACATGTATGTAAACACTACAGCCTACATGTATGTAAACACTGCAGCCTACATGTATGTAAACACTGCAGCCTACATGTATGTAAACACTACAGCCTACATGTATGTAAACACTACAGCCTACATGTATGTAAACACTACAGCCTACATGTATGTAAACACTACAGCCTACATATATGTAAACACTACAGCCTACATGTATGTAAACACTGCAGCCTACATATATGTAAACACTGCAGCCTACATATATTTATGTAAACACTGCAGCCTATGTGTATGTAAACTTTGCAGCCTACATGTATGTAAACATGATTGCATGATTGTGCTCGCGAAACTTACACAACAATAAATTAAAAAATGATTCCTTTTGTCCATACTTCCCTATAGTTTAACCATGTGCGTGACGTCGCCACTAATTTGTGCCATTTGTCTTTCCCTCCCACAGGCGTCTTGCTGCAGCCTAACAGCCGGAAATTTGATTCTGTAGAACAGATGGGAAAACTCCCCACACTCCTCCATCAGTTTTCCTCCCGAACACAAAAATCTATTACTCATCCGTCTCTCTTTATTACCTGGCTTGACCCGAAACATTAGGAAAACTCGAAACTCTAATTGTCTGAATTAAAGAGGATGATTGCCTATGTTGGAACGCTTTGTAGTGTCTATAGTGCAGATAGGGTGAAGGGGGATTTGAAACTACAACATTCCCACTCCGTTACTCACTATAAAACTACATTGTGAACAGCGACAGTACTGTAGCCCGGTAAATGTGATGACTGTACAGTAAAGGCCGGGCCGGGCAACAACGGCTTCATTAGTCCGGTGTGCGCATCGATCAAACGGTTAATAGTGGGATTCCTTCGACAGACACGAGCCATCGATTCCGCACGTAGCGGACCCACAAACATGCACAAGCACCGCTACAGAAAACTCAGGGACGTAGCAAACCCACAAACACGCACCGCGCACCGCCATTGAAAAAGCACGGATGTACCGGACCCACAAACACGCACCGTGAACCGACCCAGAACACCCAGGGACGTACCAGACCCACAAACACCCACCGCCCCAGAAAACCCACGGGTGTATACCAAACCCACAAACACGCACCCACGCATCGCCCCAGAAAGCCCAGGGACGTACCGGCCCACAAACAGGCACCACGAATTGCCAAAGTAAACCCACGGACGTACCTAACCCATGGCCACAGGCACGCACCCACGCATAGCCACAGAAAACCTACGGATCCATCTCCATGGATCACCACGAACAAATAGATCTTATAAACACTGATACCACCTCGGCCCGCCGCCGACTTAGCCACTTAGGGAATAAACCCATGGATTACCCACGATTTTAGACACGTTGACACGGTCTCAGAAATGCTCACAGCGTTCTTGTAGCCTCTTTTTCCTCTGTGAATGCTTTTACATCATCATCTTCTATAGACCCCAGTTTTGTACTACGACTGCCGATTCCAAGGCATTAAAACGACCATAAATTAAGCAATATAAATCAAATATACCATTGGCATGGCATCATTCACATGTCTCACGATACAATAAACATGTAATAAGACCGCAGAGAACCATTTATCACCTACAGGAAACAAAGCGAGCATGCTGTGATCAGATCAGCATAGCCTCGGGCTTAATCGGCTAACGAATTCATTAGTTCAAATATCTTCAGCTGATACCATTGCGGAGGAGGCGGTGGGTTGTTAAGGGTTGTGGACGCAAATCTCGAGCCTGTGCGGCCAGGCACGGTGGATGGTTTGTGATGAATAGATACCGTCAGAATCGATTCGGTTCAATGACGAAGATGTAGTCTTATACAACGCTATGACTTACCTTTACAGAGCCAGCTAATCCATACCCAGGAGGTGAACATCCGCAGCCATGCCGGGAGGCGTCTCCTCATGGTGCGGCCGTGTTCATGCTAGCTGCGGGCCCCGCAAGTAAACCTGACGCACCGCCCGTCCAGCAACCCGGCCGTCCTGCCGCGCCGCCTGCAGCCCAACACAGCCCCAGCCGCCCGCAACACACGTGACTCCTAAACCCGCATTGATCGCCGCCAAACACCGGCGAGGTCAAAGGCCACGGCTGGATGAATGGCGGATGGAATCAGCTGATAAGACAGGTGGGTATCCAGAAGGGAGGGGGGTCGTACTGAACTCCGGGAACGGTTTGTTCACCTGTCGTGGTGGAGGAAGAAAAGCAACTGTTTGTCTGGTACAGATGATAACAAGAGCACAGCGGATAAATGTACAACAGTAAGTTTGAATAGGATATACCAGGTATACATGAGGTGGAGGAGATGCATAGAATCTATAGACAGATATGGATATATACGAGTACCTTAAAGAGAATGTGTAGTATAAAGGAGTTATATATGTTTCACTGATTGTTATAAAGATATGTCCTGTATACATGAGCGATTTAGAAAAGGATATATTTAGGAGATTAATTATAAGGCTGTATGTTTCATGAATATAATTTTCAGAAGCTTAAGATATGTCACATGTGGAAGATAAATTCCGAAAGCCCGTTGAGGAACACATGGCGTATTTCAGCCGATCTGTGTTAATGTCTTGAGCAGGGTCGGGTCGCTGCGATTGGCGGTTTTATGACGGGTGTAATGAGCCGGTCTCCACAGAGCGGCAGCCTCGCAGATTAAACATGTAATGAAGGAAATGCGGGGGGGGGGCATGAAGGTATGAGAATTAGGTCATGTGACAGGAAGCATAACCTGTCCGCAAGTTTAAGATTATACATGATTGGATCAGGTAATGTAGAATATTATTGTAATAGGTTGGAAACGTGTTCTATATATGATAAGGGACTCTTTCTCATGATCACATGTTACATTGAACAGTACTGTGACGGCATAATGTTATTTTCAATAAGATGGAGTGACAAAATCTTTAACGATGATATATTGATGAGAAAAATTCCATCTCTAGCCCGGAAACGTTTTCTTCAAACAGACCCTGCCTGTTCAATATTAGGACAGGACACTTACAAGGGAAACAACTGAAACACTCATTGAAATAGCCGTTAAACAGAATGTAAAGCGGTCATTTTGACCACAAGTGTTCCAGTAGAATATTGAATGACCTATGCCATCACAGAGTAATGACTGTTGGGCTCACGATGTCAAAATCTTGCCCTCATGACGTTTCAGGTTTTTCCGGCTACGAACATCACTTGTGAAATACAATGTTTGAGCAGGATGGGGATACTAAAGGTATACTACTCACATGCCAACTTAATCCTTAAATTAGCTACTTAACTTAACCTGCGCAAATCTAATCCAATCCTGGTCAAAGCAATTGCTAACTGCTACTTTAAAATCTAATCCTGAACGAAACTGTATTTTAGCCTAATCCAATCGTAACCAGAGCGACGCAATGACGTGCAAGCAAAATCCAAAGCCAGGCTCAGTACTTTCTTATCATTTGAAACTTGATCCCAAAAGTGGTATTAACTAGTTTCTTTACTATCAAACTTAATGCAATCCTGACATATTAACAGCAAATCTGACCGTATCCTACCATTGAATAGCTAGCTTTTTTTTTAACCGAAACCAAGCCTGACAAGCTTGCTTAGTTAATCCCTTACCTAACCCAATCTACTACAGAAGCTAGCTTGTTTAAATTATAAAGGTTTGTATTGGTCTCTACGTGAGAGACTTTAAAGTTGGTCACAAGAAACGGTCGCTTAATTAACCTTAACATGAACTTTGTTCCAACATATAGCATACACCCACGGAATGTTCAGTTGAGCTCTTTTTAGGATCACAATTGGCGCCGTGAAAAGTACCAGGAAGACTAATTATGAAATTTGTACTGCAAGGCAAATAAAAATCCCCGAAGGCACGCTGCCTTCCAGAATCCTTGTCAATTCACAACATCGTTACAAATCTCAAGTACGCGGATAATCACACCTTGTTAATAACCTGAATGCACATAACGCCATCTGGATCAATATGATATAAGATATTTCAATTTAAAATATAATTTTGATCCTAATTCATCAGTCAATATCGTGATTGAGTCATAATGAATGTAATCAGCGTCTGGCACCGTCAAGTACTTTCATCGATAATCCGATGTGTGTTCCGTAAGTTAAAAGTCAAGAAGCGTAGTTTTGTTGTGGGACATCTGGTGTTTAACTTTGTTGTAGGACATTTAGTTTTAAACATTGTTGTGGGACAGGTGGGGCAGATAGTGTTTGACATTGTTGTAGGACAGCTAGTGTTTTGGACATTGTATAACATTGTAGGAACAACAATGACCATGTTATACATTAGCTGTTCTGCAACGATGTTACATGTACATGTATACACTGTTGCAGGGCAGTGTTTAACAATGTGTAGGACTGCTCGTGTTAGTACTGTTGTAGGTCATTTACCGTCAATGCATGTCACTTCATGTTTAGCATTGGTGTGGGACAGTTCATGACTAGCATAGTTCACCTTGTACATCATTGGCAGGCAGTTAACGTTTATATTTGGTCAGATTCTACAGATAAACCAGTTTATTACTATTTTTAAAAAGGGCATAAAACCAAGTTCGTATAACTTCTTCTGCAAAGCATGTCTTGTTTTATTACACAATCTAAACTTGTTATTGTAGTCGGGCTCCGTTACTGCCGATGTGACCTTACCGGGCCCTCGTCCGCAAATATCCTAGCTAATGATACATGTGATATTATACAGATTTAAAGTAGTTGCAAGTTATTGATGTTTTAGTGACGTAGTTACAGTAATTGCTATAATAACGTCCTTACAAACAAAAATTCCCGCTCCGCTTCTACACAACAGAAAAAAGGTCGTTCTAGTCCATTTCGTTGGCAAAATTGATGATTGGATTTTACCTTAGCTGCGAGTTCATAATTGCCACCATCAACTTCTATAACTATTCTAATGTCAAGTCAAGTTACTGCGAATCTAACACGGAGACAAAACGACCTTTGCTACTACTTCTTATCCCATTATTCATGGGTAAACTCCTGCTCCGTACTGGTGGTGACACTGTGCGCAGGCTGCCTTACCTCCGGTTCTGGACTGGTTAGCGGGGCTCAACTGGGCCTTTTCTCGGTCACCCCCTGCACATCAGCCGGAAGGGAAATTATACTGATGACGTTGACGGATGGGACAGTTCATTTGTCACTGTGTAGGCAAAACATCGGAAGAGTTTTTACCGCTGTGTAGGAATAGACGCAACACAATGGATGATGAGTCTGCACCAGGTTGCAATCCATTCCGAACGTCCATAACCACAGACATGCTCCCCTCCTCCACAATTCCGTTTCAAAACACCCCTTCTTCCACAGAATTCGGAACTCCGTTCTAAATGTCCACAGTCCCGGCATGCGCCCCTCCTCCTCCGGAATTTCCGTTTTCCGTCTGGCTAACCCGGATCTTCCACACGCACGCGTCTGGAAAATGACAAGATACGTTTCTCGTCTCAACCGAGAAAAAACACCGCCGATCTGGCGTGTCTAACGTCGCGGCGTAACGTGGCCGATCGCGGCGCCGTCGTCAGCAGTGAACGTCCTGGCGTAGCGGCGTCGCCAGACGAGTCGAACAGACGCCGACGTGAGCAGAATACGTGCGGCGGTACATTGTAATCACCTGGCCGCCGCGCCGACGTACGTTCCGCACGGCCGCGCGTTTTTATGTCAACCTGGCGATTCATTTTAATTCACTCCTCCAGCAGCACCTGCGCACAAGGATGCGCGGTTATCGACCCGGCCTGCTGCTAACTTGGTGCCATCCGAAAAACCCTGCTAGAATGTTGGACAATTTGATCAACAAATGGATCTTTACACTTAGCAATAGATTGTTTTATTTATGCCCATCAATATATATAATTTAGGTGGCTCTTTAAAGCTCATTGATGAAATTGCTACAGTTTGTGATCATAATAGATTAATAATAGGAACATCCTTGGATTTATCAGTAGCAAACCACATATCATTATATACTACTAGTTTATAGATTTAGCTACAATAGCTTTTAATGGTTTCTTTTTCTTCTTTCTCTTAAAGACAATTGCCTGACATGTCATTACTAGTCACATATAATATTGTGATACCTTGCCATTTCTACTGTGATACCTTGCCATTTCTACATTCAATCTGCAACTGCTAAAATTCTGATCTTTGTTACTGCTCTACGAATTTCAAACACAAAAAAGTATAGACTCAACGAATTTTCATTCAGACCTCTAGTTTTATTCAGAATTATTAATTGCTCAAGACATGTGACCTTACCCCTCAATTATATATTAGCACAGAAGGCTAATCTTACAGTTTCTTACTACAATGTAATTATGCAAAATGTCTGTTGCACAATTCATTTGCATAATGTAGTCTATACTTTCACCTTTACCCTACTTCCAAACTCCACATGTATGATATTCCTATTGCAAGTATGAAGCGCCACCACCGACATATTATTTTTAATTAATCCTTCAATCATGCAAATTATTAATTTGCATACTAATCTGTTGATATCCCCCTCTCTCTCTAAGATACATATGCCTCATCATTTCAGAATGAAATAGAATTGCATAATGTCCTCATTAATTATGTAAATCAGGTCTTGATTTAGGACTGAGGACAAGAGGGAGTGTAAGTGGTGCTGCATGGTCGAGAGGACAGGCTGGGCGTGTTATGTGAGCCGGAATTCGAAGGATGGGCGTGTTGTCTGAGGCCGGAAGGACGGGCGTCTTGTCCGGGCCAGAAGGACGGGCCTGTTTTCTGGGCAGGCAGGTTGGGCGTGGTGACGAGTAGTAGGACGAGTGTGTTATCCGGCCGACAGGCTAGACATGTTGTCCGGGCGGGAAGGCTGGACGTGTTACCCCGGCGGGAAAGCTGGGCGAGTTATCCGGACTGGTAGGATGGTCGTGTTATCCGGGCCGGAAGGATGGTCGTGTTATCCGGGCCGGACGGATGGTCGTGTTATCTGGGTCGGAAGGATGGTCGTGTTGTCTGGGTCGGAAGGATGGGCGTGTTATCTGGGTCGGAAGGATGGGCGTGTTATCTGGGTCGGAAGGATGGGCGTGTTATCTGGGTCGGAAGGATGGGCGTGTTATCCAGATCGGAAGGATGGGCGTATTACCCGGGCCGGAAGGACGGTTCGTACCACGGCTCAATGAAGAGGATAATGCTGGCGGCCAGCAGAGCGAAGGCGAACAAACGCAGACAGATCCAGTCCACCATTCTGGCCACAAACTGCCACTCGTCACTCACCTAATATAAAGGAACAAAGACCAGATAAGAGGAAATCACAATATATATTGTTTGTTAAGCTTGCATCTGTAGGAAAATGTTCTTGGTGACTTTATCCTATCAAATTTAAAACGTGAGAAAGATATCATGCTAGTTTGGATGCCAGCAATTTTAGCTTTAGTACGCTCTTTCCGTCGCCCAGAAGTTCACCCGACTGGCTTTGAGGAGATCGCCCTTAAGTTTCTCGCCTTGAGGAATTTAGCCTATTTTTGTTACTTTAATCAGAAGAAACTATGCCCAGTGCACGAAGGTTTGTCTCATTACGTGACGTGACTGTGCGGGTCCAGTCCTTTTTAAAGGGAAGCAGTGGAATAAGCGCACTAAAGCTAAGGAGAAATCAGAGATACCTAACCTCCAAGAAGTATATATCGCATAATGTTTAAAACGACTGTTGACAATTTCAGTCATCACATTGAAAGCACAGTTACCAACAACAGTACATGACTTGAAAGATGGGTAGTAACGCAGTGAACAGCCACTGCAATTGCAATATCAAAGGTAACAGATAGTACACAAATTAAAGAGTTCCTACCTCCGCGTCACTGTCCCCATCCTTGAAGTGATCCGAGACTGTAGTCACATGGCCAACTGCCTCCTTCAGATCAGCGGAGAGCTGAGGCCGGTCGGTTCGGGGCGGGACGGGAGGTCGGCCGTCAGCAGCAGCGTCCCTTCTCCTCCGCAGCTCGATGGCTTCAGCCCCCCAGGGGTGGAGTCCGTTAGCCGCATGGGGGTGAGGACCGTTGGCGCTTTCTTTAGTACCGTCTTCCTCCTCCTGCTCCACTCCCGGAGGCGGCACCTTCAGCAGCCTCGGCAGCAGCTTCAGGAAGATGTACCGTATCCATGGCGACATGACGTGCGTGGACGCGCCGCGGAAGTGGATGTTAGCGACGTAAATCGAGGTTACCGTCTCCACGGTGACGAAGATCATGGTGAACATGAGGTACCGGCCGATCAGCGGGATGTCCACAGACGTGGCAGGAATGATGTCTGCGATCAGCAGCAAGAACACGACCAGAGCCAACAGAACGTTGATGCAGAGTCCAACCTTCTCCCCACAGTCTACCGGCAGATAGAACACCAGGATGGACAGCAGGGTCAGCAGAATGATGGGCACGATCATGTTCACAATGTAGAACAGCGGCTTCCTGGCTAACATGAAGTCATAGATAACAAAAACACTGTCCTCAGTCTCAACCTTCCTGCTGGGAATGTCCACGATACGCCATTCTCCACTTTCCTTAAAGTCGTCGTACACAAAACCCAGGGATACCAGGTCCACTTCCCGTTTGTTATACGTCCAGGAGGAGAACTGTAGTGTGCAGTTCTGCTTGTCGAAAGGGAAGTGACGGACGTTGATAGAACACTCACTGGTGAAAATAGACGGAGGTAGCCAGTAGACACTCCCGTCGTTGGATATGATTGCTTTTGTGTAGAGGGCAACGTCATATTGGCCGTCTTTGCTGAAGAATAAGATGAAAACAAATTCAATGTTTAATATATACTTTTTATGTCATCATTCTTTTTGCTTTTCAGCGTAGAATATTTGTCTCAACAATTTATTATCATTATCATTTTCACAATGAAGTCCATATCATATAAAGCATTTGGCGTACGTGCAAGCGCACATAATTTGCGACTGACTTGTTGAGGAGGACAATATCTGGTCTCCACACGGATTCTGCAGGCACACGGATACTGGGGATGTGGTCAAAATCTTCCTTATTCCACGCCAGTCGATAGTCTACCCAGGACTGCAGGGGGAATATGGTTGGTAAGCTGACAGGCTTCACGCTTGATGCACATATATTGATATATAAAAGTCATTTTAAAAGAATGGAATTAAAAATGAAAATAGGGCAAGACTTTCATTATATATACGTACCAGTTCTACCCAAACGTTAGTCCTCATGTACTCCTCCTTTTCGTTCTAAGAGCGGAACAGGAAGAGTTAAAGTTTTACTATATATGGAAGGAAATGGCCGAACCAAAATGATGAGTGGCACACAAACAGCAGACAATCAATACTTCTGAACAAGTGTACCCTGAAGTACATTAAATTATTTAAAAAAAAAGGTCTAGCTAAGACCGTAAATCCTGTCATACTTACCACAGCGATGACTTGAATCACCAGCAGCTTGAAGTTGACCGGAAGAACATCAGTCGGAGCAAAGACTGGCCTGACATCCGGGCTGTACCTGGACTCGTTAAACAGCTGCCGAACAAGGCGCTCTTCTGAGGCCGCACCAAGGGCACCTGGAAGGGATTATATCAACTGAATAATTAACTGAATAAATGTAGTCATCAGCAAAGTGAAGTCCGCGCCTTTTGACAGTGTTGATCCAGAACCATGCTCAAATTGCAAGCGCAACTCTGGATAATCGACGCGCGTGCATAACCGTGCCTGGGGCAAATTAACATTGATTTTGTTGACTTTGAAAATCAAAGTTGATTTTCTTGGATACAAGGAGACTATCCAGAGGCAGAACCGTGTCTGGTCCTAACCCTAACCCACTCAGGCATAGAATTAGATAGGCACGGTTCTGGAATTAATAGATCCAATTGACAGAAACTAACAATCCTACCAGAGATATGAGGACGACAGCACACACACTCCGCTGACGAATACAATATTATACAATGCTGGCGAGAAACAAGTAGCTTAGAATTCAAAACGAACGTTGTTGTGTACTTGAGGTATTCGACGACTGTCTGAACTGTAGGTAAAGGAGAATGACCTCACATCTGTGCTTCAACATGACATTACAATAATGACACCCTGATAATATCTTGCAGAGAAGGCGAAAAGAGGACATGATGTATCACGTATAGGGTTCCCTGTGATAAACGATGATGTGTCGCTCCTCCAACAACTCTAACATCACGGTGAAAGTGCACTTGAGCTGGGGACGTTTCTGTGACGTCAACATGGCTGACATACCTACATAGTTGGCGGGACTCTGCAGGGCAAATAAATATCTATCCTGTTGACAAATTGCGCGATTTGGATCTAAACTTTTGTAACTATTGTAATAAAAGTATTAATCGTAAATCAAAAATCTTAATCACTCACAACAATGTCTAAAACTATGAATACCTTATTGTTGAATTGATCAACACACGTTTGTGCACTATTGCACCAAGATATATTGTAGTAAATAAGTCGAATATTTTATTTTGATAATACAATGTATAAAGATGAGCGTCCATTATACAAAATGTCTCACTAATATCTTACTGGAAAATTTCTGACAATTTTAAACGATATTATTTCTAACCCGCACAACGATCCGCCCACACGACATACGGAATGTTCACTGCGCTGCGTCAATCTATGTTGTTTTTCTGATCGCCCCGCCCCACCCCTGCTGTGAATTCTGACACAAAACCTACTTCTAAAGTCTCACACACCTGCTTACCAGATGTGTACCGAGAACGTAATCCGGAAACTCACCTGAAGCGGCCCAGCAGATCGTACAGATGCCGAGAAGAGTCCGCCCGTCCATGGCGAGCCCAGTGTCTATTTTAGATGAACCAGTCAAGATCAGTAGCATCCTTTACAGGTCAGACGTGACAAGTCTGTGTCCAGGCTTTTAATATCTCGTTTCAAAGCATATGATATGATTGATGGCTCTCCACGCCTGGGTTGATATGACGTTGTTACGATGTGATATGCCTGGATTGCTCTGATCTTCACAACAGGTTCTGCTCATCGCCCATTCATGTCTGCGCCACGGCAACCGTAGCCGACAGCCTATACTGAGGAAACGGTTTCACTGACATACATATAACCAATGCGAACAATGCTGTGTTACCTGGAATATCATGAGCTGTTATCACTGTAGTACAAATAACCTTGCAACGATACTGCTCATAATGCAATTAATTATTATGTCTGCTACCTGCGCGCTAGCCATACTACAGATTTGCCGGTTTCATCAAAAGAGATCGGGGGATAATTCCTCTCTTCATCCTTCCTGCCAGCAACAGCAGAATAAACGGCAGGATGAGTCCGACATGGTTTTCTTATCTAGTTCTATATTTGCATTTATCTGAAGGCACACCATGTCCACCCCTGACACTATATGTTTGAAATTGTAAGACACAACAATGCACTTTGGCTAACTGGTAGAATGATTGCTTATAGATACTGTTTCATCTACTTTGTTTATTCCGATGATTCTTATTTGCAATTAAAGGAAAGCAACTCATGATGCTCGAAATGTTCATGGACTTTTATTAGTGTATACAGTCTTACATTTTCAGTAAAGTATACAGTATAGCATTTTCAGCAGCGTACACAGCAAAGCATTTTAGTAGAGTTCACAGATAGGCATTTTCAGTATAGAAATTCAGTACAGTGGAAGGTGTGGCATTTGGAAATAAATCTCAGCTTATCCCCGCGAACAATGTCTCTATTAGTATGTGTACTTAGAATCTGTTCTTGAAACGCTAAGGGCAAATAATCAAAGATTTGGGATGACAGCCCCTGTAGTGCGCAAGTGTCCCTTGAAATACATTGACGACGTGTGACATCCTCTGAAAGAGCTACGAAAGAGCTACAAAGTTGTATGAACGTGCAAGGGTTGTGACAACGCCATTCTTTACCAAACGTAAACAGAGAGATGAATCAGAACTCTATTGTGGTGTCCAGCTGAATTGATGGGGCATACCGAATGTAAAAGGTGCGTTTTGTACTCATCATATATGGCAGCTTTCTGTTTAAGAACAGTAAGGCATGCTTACTAGATAGCTTTCAACAACGCTTGGAGTTTGGTGTGCAAAGGTTAGGTGTGGCAGGTCGTTCAGCGAACATGGCATAACAGCCCTACGGCGTAACACGTATTAAGTTCTGCAGGCACGGCAGCAGCTGGATACATTACGTCTATACTGATATAGACGTTAATTGGCACACTGAAGCCTACAGTTCTATGGGGGTCTGGTCCCGCTACTGGAACGACTCCTCGTACCAGGGCTCTGCGAACAGCACAACCGTCCCTACCAGCAGGATGATGGAAAACAGCCACAGGCAGATCCGGTCAATCAGGGCGGCCATAAACCTCCACTCGTCACTCACCTGCAAGAAAACACTAGCTCGAAGTCACTTGATTCGCCTTGGTATTATTTACAGAAATGCAAAGGCGAAAGGCTTTGGTTATATTTAGATATTTATTTTTGTCGCAGAATCAGTGTGTACTAGATATTATGAACGATAAATGTACATTATGTTATATGTACATATACACAAAGTATACTTTACCGATGAGTCGTCGTCTTGGTCTTTGAAGTGGTCAGATATGACCTCCACGTTTCCCACGGCTTCCCTCAGGTCAGACGACAGTTTGGGCTGGTCGGCCCGGGGCGGGACGGGAGGTCGGCCGTTCTGAATGACTCCGTCCCGCTTCCTCATCTCCACAGCGTCCCAGGTGGGAGAGCTGTCCTCCTCCTCCTCCTCCTGCTCCTCACCTGGAGGCGGCACCTTCATCAGCTTCGGCAGCAGGTTCAGGAAGACGAACCGTATCCATGGCGACATGACGTGTGTAGCGGCGCTGCGGAAGTGGATGTTTCCCACGTAAACAGTCATGACCGTGACAATAGTGACGAAGATCATGGTGAACATGAGGTACCGGCCGATCAGAGGGATGTCCAGGGACGTCGAGGGGATGATGTCTGCGATCAGCAACAAGAACACGACCAGGGCCAGCAGGATGTTGATGCAGAGTCCAACCTTCTCCCCACAGTCTACCGGCAGATAGAACACCAGGATGGACAGCAGGGTCAGCAGGATGATGGGCACGATCATGTTCACAATGTAGAACAGCGGCTTCCTGGCTAACATGAAGTCATATGCAATAAACACGTTATCGTCGGTCTCGATTTTTCTGTCCGGGATTTGCAGGATCGCCCACTCTCCACTTTCCTTAAAGTCGTCTGTGATGTACCCGCCCTGTTGGAGATCCACTTCCCGTTTGTCGTAAGTCCAGGAGCCGAACTGTAGCGTGCAGTTCTGCTTGTCGAAGGGGAAGTGGCGGACGTTGATTGAACACTCGCTGGTGAAGATGGCCGGAGGCAGCCAGTAGACATAGCCGGAGTCATACACCAACGCCTTTGTGTACAGGGCCACGTCATACTGCCCGTCTTTGCTGAGAGAATATCAAAGATAGGAAATGTCAATTCTGAAACATGAAAATCGGTCTCAATGAATACTTCCAACAACTAGTTTTGGCTATCATCGGGAAGAGGCGTCACGGAAGGCGAGGGGCTAGGGCATGCAGGTTCACTGTCAGGTGACAGCTCAACTGCGGAAGCGTACTGAAACAGGGATTTCTTTGACTGAGTGTGCGTGGTATTTATGGACTGTGTTTGGAATTTGTAAATACGCGTATACATTTGTATATACATTGTGGTGTGAAATTGTGATCTGGTCACTACAGGTAATCATTGACAGCCACTGGAGCTGGCATTCGACGAACGGCTGATTCTGATCTCAGAGGGTATTATATTCCAAGTCTGACCGAACCAGCACCTTATTATATGTAGCCTTGACCCTTATTGGACGGTAGTGTGGTGGATATGAGGTCGTCGTTTTTGTTGATGTTGGTATTGATTGCAGGCGCACAGAAGAAAGATTGGGTCCACTGGTGGTATAAAAAGGAGAGTTTCACGAAAATAGCAAAATGATAAAAAAAAAGTAAACAAATCTGTAAGAATACTAAACGGAAAGGGAGATGGAAAAGAACCTGCCTGCCCGCCGTGTCATGGGTATACATCCTCTTAAACCTGCATGATCTACAGACATAACCGACCGTGTCCATTATCAAGGTTGAACTTCAGAGGTGAGACCTTGAGCCAACCTATACTGACTGTAAATATCAAAATCTATTTGCACTTAAAATTTTTTTACCTCCTTTCTTTTGTTCATTTGATCATCTCCCTTACTGAATTACATGTATTTGGTTCCTGTTTTTGTTTATTATAGAAAAACACAATACACGAATTTTGCTTTCCCGGTGTATCTGTCTGTCACCCTGATAGATTTCGGTGTCCTTACTTATTAAAAAGCATGATGTCCGGAAGCCATAGTGCCTCTGCAGGGACCCGGATGAGGTCGATGTGATCGTAGTCTTCCTTGTTCCATCTCAGTCTTGGGTCGGTCCACTCCTGGAGAGGGAGAGGGAGGGGGGTCATGTGCCGTAGTACAACAGCATCGCTTGGATATATAGCAAGCTGGAAGCAAAAACAATATTCTAAAGTGCCCCGCCAATGCCGTATGTAAAGCCTGTAATCTTAAGTGTTGAAGACCGCTGACGATTAATTACGCATGAAGAATGGCTCCTTACCTGCTGCACCCACACATTCGTCCGCATGACCTCTTCTTTCTCAATCTGCAGGGACAACAGCACAGTGTATCCGTCAATAGCTTCATCAGGTTGATTGATTGAATAGCAAAGTTGTTTATTCACAAAGACGAAAGCCGACGTTACGATGGCCGTCTGCCATCCTCATCAGGGCAAGTATGGCTGATTCAGTGTGCTTTCAGTATTGGAGACTGGTTTTGGATAACTGTTGTATTGTGATGCTTGTATGTCATGAAAAAGTCTTAGGAGATTTTTTTCAGTCTCAGTTGCTTTCGAATTTAATTCGAGTATCGTTTATTGCTTATGATGACGATGGCATTTATGACTTACCACGCTGATAACCTGGGACACGGCCAGGGTCACCCTCACGGAGATCACCTCGCCTGGCGTCTGCGCAGGTCTCACACCGGAGTTGTAGGCGCTTTCATTGAAGAGCATGCGCACTAGTCTCTCCTCAGAGTCCGCAGCTAAGGTCCCTGAAATGTCAGGTTTGCGCATGCGTTCTTGTAACCTTTACACCCAAACTCCGGAGGGTAAAAGACATATAGCATGCCTATGAGTCAGTCACCCCACCACCAAACGTACAAGACTTTTAGGCGTGACGTCATGTCCTTTCAGCATTTTCCAATACAGCCTTGTCATTTAGGACAACAGAGCCAGCTATGTGGCATCTAACAGTGATAATGATAAGTACACAGTATCACTGGTCCTCGGCTGTTCCAAGATCAGGGTGTACCAGGGTGTTGCACTTGGGCCAATTTTTCAAATTTTCCACTTTCAATACAGAAACATATACTACAGGTGATATCATGCATATGCATGGTGCTTTTTAAATTTTTGGATAGCGATGAGCGGTTTTAAAGATGCGCTCCTTCAAATTTAAGTGCATTACCTTACAATGGACATTACAGCTCATTGTGCACATAACAACAAAAATTCGTGGTCTCCTCCAATAATTTGTTTCAAATGTGAAATGACGTTACAGAACTGAAAAGAGGGTGCAAATTTCTTTGCAACATTGTTATAAAATGTTATTACACTTACATGTACATGTTTTGCTTATATGGTATACAATCTATACGGAAACTACACATCTCTACGGACACTACAACATAGTAATCTACGACTGACATTTTTTATTTACAACCATCATCAAATTGGCTTCTTTCACAAGGCCACCATCTTTAAATGTTTCAGAATTTTGAGTTTGTATGTACCCATGGCATTTTTATTCCAATTAGTGAGCCATTTTCTACTTTTCTCTGGACACAACACGTTTTCTCGGACCAAAAAAAACAGGCGATTGAAAGCCAACTGTTCTTTTAACCCAAAGAACAAGCAACATAAAAACACATTTTTGTGTTACATATAGATATACCATTTATAATATGCAAAATGGCCAGTCCTATATATCACAGTTTTAGGGGTACAAGGAGATATGTTGCCAGAAAGTGTAAAAAAAAATGCATTTGTACGTGTAACACATATTGTTAACGGCACTCTACGAAAGATGATTTTTCAAATAATTATCTAGTTTTCAGGCAGTCTTAACATACTGCTCAATTTTTTATTTCATTTTTTGGTCAGAATTTACCAAATAGCTTATTTCAAAAATTGCTTATTTCTAAATGCAACAGTATAACGTAAATTTTATGGCAATTTTGGACATAAAGTTGGTCCTAGCATAATGTTTTGAACAGCTATCTACCAAAAAGCTTCAGGATTATCAGGAGAATACTTGTTATTTGATGATATGTTTTAAAAAATGAGAACAGAATGCAATTAAATATTTAGTGAGAATGATATACAGTAACAGTACAGGATGCCATTGTTACACCCTGATATTAGAGTAGCCGCCTAAAAGCTCTCTTATTCTTTCCCATACTCTGTTCTGTGTGACTTAAGTGTTAATTTTGTCGTGCGGTTCTATCCAGCTACATTGGAGCCATCTTCTGTATTAATGTGCGTTATTTCTTGTATCACTGGCGTGTGGTGTACATTTCTGTTTTCAGCTCTGTGCCTTACGTCAGTAGGGCCGTGCATATTCTGTAACCTGTTTATGTTCTGACCTCCCAAAATGATAACATAGTCCACAAACCGGCACAAACCGGCATGGTAATAAACCGTGAGGGTCGCCACACCCCGATCTGTACAGGGAGCAAACTTGATCCCCGGGCTGTGGTGACATGTTGCACCCAACATTCCTACAGCTAAATATATCTTCTGTGTACAATCTATACCGCACGGCGATGGCTACGGGTCCCTTGTGCTTATTCCTGTATATGTGATACTATATTAAACATTACGGCAATGGTAGTTAACGATTTGAACATTGCATACAAAAACATCTCGTTTGAAATATTTCGGGCTCAAAGCATCAATATTGGAGCTTTCAATCAGCTGAAACATTGATATTACGTACTACTTGACATTTGACTTCTGACATCAAATCTCTCCAGCAACATCGATATGATTATCTCCACAATATAACTACCAGGTTTCTCGAGACTCTTACATCTCCGTTGTTATTGTTGTACGAACTACTCACTAAGTCAGGTTAGGTCACACTTATCGGTTTGTTGTTCGCCGGCTGTGGGATTTTCAGCGACATGGGTAGAACAACATACCAACAATTTCCATCATTGAAACAGGACGTTTGTACAGACTTACCTGAGATCATAATGACCATCGTCATCACCAGGCTGATCCCACCCAACTGGTCCATACTGGGTATGTCTGCGGGCTAACAGGAGCGAGCTGTCGTCAGGGAACAACGTCAAATCATTTGTTACTATGTACCATGGTGTTATTATAATAATAGAATACTGTTAGTGTATATTGGTGGTACATAGATGTAGTCTGCGTAAGATGGTGGTGCGTTTTAAAACGGCATGTCACATGTATATAACTGTTTGTGCTCAGAGAAATACTGCAATGTGTTTGGATATAGTATCCTGGGCGTTCTGTTATACCCTTCAGCTCCAGGTCAAACTATTCCCGATCTAAACTGGCTGTCATATGCAAGTTGACACACAAGGACCATGTTTGAAATGAATCTGGCAGCTGACCAGATTATAGACAAATAACAACTACAGTCCACCGACCTGGGAAGTGGTTACAGATCATTAGACATACCTGACCGCAGATATTGTCCCTGGTGAAAACGACAATGAGAAGCTTGCCCCTCTGTGGTTGAGCAGCGATGACAGGAATATCCGCTGCCCCTCCCTGCTCCGATCCTGACCCGCAGCTCCTAGCTGAGATAGTACAGGCGGGGAGTTGGGTTCAGCGAATTGTACAGAGGAATTGTTGGGTATAGTTGCACAAGCAGGGGTGCTGGCTACAGTTGAACGAGTGACGTTCTGATGTGAATGACGCACGGGGTTCTCGATCATACGGAAATAAACTGGGTGATCCTGCTACATGGTTGATTACATATAGAGCTAGATAGACACCGGATTTGCGCGAAGATTATTGTAATCTTCCTAAGACCAGATTGCCCTTGTTAAAGGGTTATTATGTTGGTAAGGACGCTATTTCTAGACATTGTGATCCTCAGAAAATGTCAAGCATCCCTATTAGCATACTCCAAGCAGCAGTAGTCGTTTCCTATGCAAGCTGTGTGTTATTTACACGCTATATAGGAATATAGGAATAATGATTTGGAAATGCGAATGATTAAAAGACGCCGAGATAAAATTTAGGGTGGGTTAAAAGCGTGATTACAATACCGTGGAGAGTGAGAATGACTAGAACGATGATATCCCCGGGTAGACGGAGAATGTTAAGAACGTGGTCACCTCGCTCGCCACGGCTGATCTATGTGTTTACAAAATTCATCGTAACAGATGGACGAAGTAAGTATTACGGAGTGCAGGTTCCTCACAGCAGGGTTTATGTAAGATATGTTCACCTATATAATGGTAGACCTATACTAAATAAAAACACATCAGTCGCTGTTATCGTGGTTTATTGTGGGATATAAATAACTTGATCAATGTGCGAAACAATAGACGATCGCATGTCATCATAACAATCGTTTGTCTTTTCTTCCAAAACAAATGTTTCCTCAAATAACCTAGCTTGGATTGAAATACCAGTTGCAACTGTTTGAACTGGCTTTTTTTTCACTGAACCCCTGCGCAAAGACCACTTCTCTTCCCACTGAACTGACCGAAGACGATCTGTACCCAAACACGTCACGTCCCGGCCCCGAGGTTGTAGCTTCTGCAGTATTCAGATTTCCGCCAGATGTCCTCCTTCATGCCAAAACTGTACTGGTCCACCACATGGATAAGTCAGAACTTCAAAAGTAGCAACTTCAATAAATGTAAATAAACGGACAGATTATGGTACAGACGGAACCATTTCTGTTGCTATAGACTGTACCCAAAAATAGTTCTCAAGTTTGTGCCTCAACCGAATTTCTAGGCTCCTGTAAAATTCGACTGAGAGCTTCGGGTACTTCACTTGTCATGAAATAATTTCATTCATCATTTTCGAATGGGTGATAGCCCTCCAACTTTGAACCAACTAGGCGTCTCAGCCCTTTGGGTCACAATATTCAATGCGTTTGTAATAAAAAAAAAACGTTAACTATGCAAAAATAATAATCTATACAAAATATAATGAAATAAAGTAACTTTCAATTAAAAATCTTGGTACATGTGTAAAAGAAAATCACCCGAGAAAAAAAGTTGGGGTGCTGTTTTGAAAAAGTCAGCCATTAAAAATAGAATACAAGGATGGCTGTAGGAAGTGTGTCGTTTCAAACTAATGACAGCAGACCTCAGGCCTGTGCTGTGCTGTTCCAACTACTTCTCAACAGTTCCTTCCACTGAAGGTAAATACATCACAGACCAAGCTGAAGGCCTGTGGGTCCCATCATCAGACTCCCGTATCCGGCAGCTGTTTCTCCGTAAGGACGCGCCTCATCCGCTCACTTTCAAGTTGACAAGAGCCCAACGCTTACCGAAAGGAAAGATACATGTGCGCCACGGCAATACACATCGAAGTTGATGTTCATCACGATTTTATGCATGTCTTAAATATTGAACAGGTGTTTACCGTCAAGTCATCAACAGAATGGTATCTTCCAGATGTTTATCGTGATGTTGTTTAGATGGTATCTCACAGGTGTTCCCCACCATGTTATGGGTAAGATGGTGTCTCACATGTTCACTAACATATTCATGTTATGAATGAAATGGTATCTCGTCGATGTTCATCGCGATGTTATGTGTCAGGAATAGGATCACGCTGTACGTCCATGGCGTTGTAGTGCTGTCCTCTGTGCGCTTCGAGTGATCGTATAAATGATATTGTCAGCCAAAGTGACTTTTCACAGTAATGGATGTGAAGTGCGCATGACACAGACTCTGTAAACATTACATGACATGCCAGTCCTGGCGGGAAAAGGTTCCGGTCCTCAGCCCGTGTTTCCCAAGAACAGCGGCTCGAAAAACAGACCCAGAGTCCCGAGGACGCAGACGATGATGAAGAGCCACAGGCAGACACGGTCAATCACCAAGGCAACGAACGACCATTCGTCACTCACCTGAAACAATAAAAATCATTTAATGACTGAAAAAGGAAAACAAGATTTTCGTGGTAAATCCAAATCCTTCATAAAATATCAACTATGATATCACACATCCTTTGTTCACCGCAATAATGACAAATATAAACATATACTACCTACTACTGCTGTATAACCAGATGTTCCCAGTGTGTCAATTACTACAAGGTACAGGAGCAAGGCTTTTGTAAGGGATTGTTTTTAGCGCTAAATGAGGTTTTCCGTTACCGCTGATCCCTCGTCCTTTGTCTTGAAGTGTTCTGCGATGAACTTGACGTTCTTGACGGCGTCCTGCATCTCAGCCGGCAGGACTACTGGCGAGTTGTGGTCCTGCCGGGGCGTGGCCTGCGGGCTGCCCTGGCTGATGGAGCCGAAAGGCCGGCCTTGCGCGTCCTGAAGAACCCCGTTACGAACCTGTAGGGGCAACAAAGTCATTAAACACTTCGAGGCAAATATGTACCTAAAGAAAGGCCTATGCTTTAACTTAGAATTACATATTTATATTTATATAGCTCATGTGTAATCATTTATGATACATAATAGAATAGAATAGAATAGAATAGAATAGAATAGAATAGAATAGAATAGAATAGAATAGAATAGAATAACCTTCTTCATTGGAATGCTGTCCACCGGCTGGTCCCACATGTAGATCGGCTTCTCCTCCTCTTCCTCCTCGTCATCTCCCGGTTTCTGGATCCGCAGGACCGTCGCTAGGAACCTGGTAATGGCGCGCATCCAGGCCGGCATCTCGTGTGTTTTGTCCGTCCGGTGATGCACGTTCAGGATGCACACGGTACTCACCGTTGTCATGGTGACGAAGATCATGGTAAACATCAGGTACTTGCCGATGAGCGGGATTTGCAGTGACGTGGAAGGAATTATGTCTGCGATCAGCAGCAGGAACACAGTCATGGCCAGCAGTACGGAGATGCTGAGTGTGATCTTCTCCCCACAGTCGGACGGCAGGTAGAACACAAGCACAGATAAAGATGATATCGCGATGCAAGGAATGATCAGGTTGATGATGTAGAACAATGGTTTTCTCTCAATGATCAGGTCATAGTAAATAAACACTTCGTTCCCTTCCACAACCCTCCTGCTGGGGGAGTCTAGCAGGTTCCACTCGCCGCTGGCTTTAAAGTCATCCAAAATGGCCGTCTTGCCGTTTTCCGAGACGACCAGGTTCACCTCGTCAGACGTGTAGGTCCAGGAGCCGAACTTCATGCTGCAGTTCTGCCGGTCGAACGGGAACTGCCGCACGTCGATAGAGCAGGAGCTCTGGAAGATGGCCGGCGGGAGCCAGTAGCAGTCCCCGGTGTTGTAGACTATCACGTTCGAGTGGAGGGCAACGTCAAACTGGCCGTCCTTGCTGCAGGGTCAGATTCAGCTTTATTGGCTATTATCATTGACATTAACATGGCAAATAACAGTTTGATGCGTTCCAGAAATGATACATAATGATAAGGAATAGTATTAAAAGTTATGATACTGAACTAAGGGTTAAAACATCTGTCAAAAACCCGCATTATCGCGTGGTCTTGCTTGTGGTAAGGGTAGTTCCGATTTCTGTATCCAGATTCTTGCTTTATCAAGAAGCATGCTCAGACATGCGCGGGAAATTATCCATAACCGTGCCTGAGCTAACCCTAGCACATTTAGGCATAGACATAGATAGACATGGTTAGGGAGACGATACTAGCCTAGTGGTTCACAGTGACATGCAGGTAAATAGTTGTTTACTTGTTAAAAAGGACGATGTCGGGCTTCCAGACCACAGATGCAGGGACTCGGATCGCTTCCAGGTGGTCAAAGTCTTCTTTCTGCCAGGCCAGACGGTAGTCCACCCAGCCCTGTTAGGTGCATGAGGATGGGGACATGTCACTGGATACATACTGCAAACAGATAATTACCTGCCTACGTTTAGGTAAAAATTCTGGTGTAAAATCAAATAGAAACTGAAAAATCCGGATTTTGCAAAATGTAGTATATAAATGTCGGATACGTACTTGCTCCAGCCAGACATTAGTCTTCAAAATCTCAGCCTTTTCGGCCTGGATAAAAGATGAGAAAAGTCACAGGATGAACAGAAAACTATTTAAACAAATGACCCCCCCCCCCCCCCAAGCCCACACACACAAACAATGGAGCTACAGGCTAGGTATCACACTACAAGCCGGTACTTTTTATCAGCTACAGGCCTGTACTGGGTGTCAGCTACACAATGCAGGTCGGGTGTTAGCTACATGCTACAAGCGGGCTGTACTGGGTGTCAGCTACACCCTACAGGCCGGTTCTGAGTGTTAGATACATGCTATAGGCCTGTATTGAGTTAGCTTACATGTTACAGGTCGGTACTGGGTGCAAGCTACACGCTACAGGCCTATACAACTGGGTGTCAGTTGTATACTACAGGCCTTACTGGGTGTCAGTTGTCAGTTGTATGCTACAGGCCGGTACAGGGTGTAAGCTACACGCTACAGGCTGGTACTGACCACACTGATGAGCTGGGACAGGTACAGAGCGAACGTCGTGGTGACGGTGTCCCCAGGCTTGCGGGCAGGCCGGATCAGCGGGCTGTAGTTACTGCTGTTAAACAGCTGCCGAACCAGCCGCTCTTCCGCCTCGGCACAGTCACATCCTGCCAAACAACCAGACAATTATATCATAAAAGTACATTCGGTAACTGATGAAAAACGTACACAATGTCAAACATGTAGCCTGGGGGGTCGCGCTAGCTTTAACGAACCAGCCGGATATGTAGACAACCGCGGTGTACTCAAAGTATCTTTAACGTTTGCGCTTCGGTATGAAGATTGTAATGAAAATCAGGATCTGCTCAGCACTATTAATTGGATGAAGCTGAATATTTTTCGGATGTGTGCTATCAAATCGTTCCTTGTCCGAAGAGCAAGGACAAACAAAACATTTGAAGAATATTGGCACAACCAACCGACTAGCGACTCGGAAGGGTATTGGCTTTTTTATTATAAGGACGGTGTCCCCTTCCTTTGCGTTTACTTGACACAAATCTGAAGGGAGGGCGCTCAACGAGCGAAACAGCGCAGTAGTGTTGGACATGCTACCAAATATAGACATGCGCAGTTGTTTCTGCGTGCTCCTCAAGTTACAGGAATCCTGAAATAGCGCGTGGGTGTGGAGGAGGTCTCGGGATGATGCCAACAAACACGGTCCCGTGGTGCGAGGGCAAACAAACGTGTCGAAAACAACTGATATAGTCGTTCAGTATCCGTACATGTCTGGAAACCAATATAAACTGTATTATTTTCATGTGGTAAAATAAAATTTGCAAACCATTGTCACCTTTGGCGTGCTTCCTAAGGCGGTTTGTAAAGAAATCTGGACATTTAGTTTCTCAAGCACACAAAACCTCACATATACACTAGTTGCTAATAGTGTCAATAGTTTCAACCGTAATGTAGAATTTCTGAAGGCAACGACATAAAAAACACTTTTCATGTGAAAGTTGTTAATTCGAAGTTGGCTACCATACAGGGAAAAGTGCGGAATTATATAACGTCATCTCTCTAATGTTGTTATTGTTGTTTTTAGCTTTCCGATGAACACTGGAAATCCCGATCAACTGACAGGTTGGAATACATGGTCTATATTCAATTTGATTACGCTACTCGTCTTTGTTCTCGTTAACGTTTGCACACAATTTGTTGACCGATGGACGTCGCAGTTCCACAGGCTCATTATCGGCGCTGCTATCGGAATGTCTGAGTCCATAACATCGTCCCATAGCTCTGCTCTCACGCACCGTCCACAGTACCTCCGCTCCGTACGGTACATGCGCGCTGTCAGATTATCACACCATAGTTACACCCGGTGTCAAATAACATCCCGCCGGCCGTGAATTAACACTAATGACTCGGGCACAGCTGCAGCTCGGAGGGTCGCCGTGTCACATTCCCCATCCTATTACCCGCGTGCCCGGCTATATATGGCAGTGGTGATCTCATGCGGCAATGGCACGAACCACAGGGACAACAGCAGCAACTGGAACTTTCTAACCTCGTTAATACAGTCTTGGAAGTAATTCTACTGAAATATTTGATAAAAAGTCATGGTAACTGCTAGTGATGGTATATAAAAGTTAATGAGAGCGATATTATGTTCTTATTGCTTCTCTGTTATTTTATGCTGCATGGCAATACACTTTTTATCATCATGGCAGAATGTAACAGTGGAATACAACATTACCGCCCATAGATCAATTCTTGACCATGAAACAACATAAAGCCTTGCCGAAAATGATACGTATATTGCAGATACAGATCCTTTGGGTTTTGAACTGCAGTCGGGAAGCTTTTTGATAGAACACTGGTGATTAAAAATGGTTGCTTAGCATCCGGCGCAAGTAGCTCACAACAGCATTGAGTTACGATCAGCTGGGGCAGAATTTAAACTGATGAAAACTTCGTCTACAATTGTAAATCCTCCTGTTAAATCCTATTGGAGAATAGGGCAGTAAAGAAACCTAGCCATTTTCTACCGAAATTGAGACCCTGTTATAGACAGGTACAGGTACACACTCATGTCGCGTGCATCTCACCTGCTGTACAGACCGTGAGCAGCACAAACAGCGAGGCGGTCCAGCCGTCCATGGCGGTGTCCGATCAGAACTGCCCAACACACGGCGGAAACAAGGCAGCGAATGTAAAATCTTCAAATGTCTTCACACTCTTGGGAGCGCATATCTTGAGTACTGACACACTGGTATCTCAGGGCAGTATCACTCGTATCGTGCCGAGTACGTGTTGAGAGTCAGAAGGAAAAGGTTGTCATGGATGACGAGAAAGGTCACTTGACCCGGTGACCCGGCTGTCGTCCGTCCTGATGCCGACCCGGCGCTGATGGCAGGTTCACAGAGTACGCGCCAATCTGACGGCAGGTTCACAGAGCTCGCGCTAATCCGTACTGAGGAGCTGAAAGGGCGACGGGTCAGCAGCGGCCCTGGGAAACGTCGCTATCAAAGCCGTGCCCACTTCTAACCCACAACTTCTGCCTCTCCTTTTGGTAGAAGGCCTCAGTTCTAATGAGCCGATAATACAGGCATTAACATGCCGGAATTCCGGCAGGCTATTTTTGTTCCTGACAGTACAAACCTCATGATGTGTTACTCTGTGTGTTTTCTCAGCCACAGAACGGAAAACAAACGACGTCTTCTGTAATTACGACATTGTGTAATCGAGTTAGATAGAGGAAATGAATACGGAAATATTTAGCGGAATAGAAAATGGTCTCTGAAAAACTATTTTGATAGGCAGATCCCGAATAGAGCTAAAGAGTTTTTATTTCCCACATATGGATGACTGGATTCAACGGCACTCTCCTCCTTTCTATGTAATACTGATAAATATACGACACTAGTAAACAAAATCAGGCATTAACCACGAGTCATTCATGTATTGATCTATTTGTTAGGTTGTAACAATCTGATTGACAACATCTTATAATCATAGTGAACAACATGATAGTATGATGTACGTAATCTACACTTTCGCACCAAATACATACCCTTCTCCTATTATTGAACATTTCATCATCAAACAATCGTTCTCCAGATTTTCCCAACTAGACTGTGGCTATTGTACTAAGGGCTAACCCTGACAAAACATAAGGCGTTGCTAGACGTCTTTTGGAGCACGACCAGGTTTGGTGTTCTTGTATTGCTGCCCAAAAGGCAGGCAGCTGTAGGAGTCAGGTTCAACTTTGGACATCATCCAGAATATCTCGTTTCTTTGCATGGCGATATAGCTATCTTTTAGGAAGTCCTAGCCTGGGCGAAACTTTTCTACAGGTAGCTGTACATATTGTAACCACATACACAAAAGGCTTACAGAGTCCAACACGTTGTGAATTTAATGTGAAGTCTACACCCGTGCATGCTTAAAACTAAATACAAAATTTCGATCGCTTCAAAATACAATATTATTGACTTCCATAGGCGATATAGATCGTGCACGAGGACATCACTACGTGTTTATTTCGTGTTTCGATAGCAAATCTAAATTCTTTCTTTGGCTAATTCATTCCATTTTTTAAAGTTAAAAGTTGCTGACATTTCATGAAATAGACACCTGTGCGATACGCCACCCCCAAACGCACCCCCCCCCCTAATAAAAAGCCCTGCTCGCGACTGTCATTCTTCTGCAGGGAGGAACAAAGGCTCATAGAACAGTCCCAGGGTGGTCAGCACGCAGACGATAAGGAACAGCCACAGACAGAGTCGGTCGATCACTATGGCAACAAACTTCCACTCGTCGTTGATCTGGATTAGAGTGTACATGTAGAAGAACAGTCGAGGTAATTGTTTGCAAAGGTCGACGTCATTGTATCTTTACTCAGATCACCATAGAGACGTTTAGACATTATGGGAGGATAGACAGATACATGCTTATGTAAGTCCGAGATATCGGCTATATATATGCTCAAATATAGTTATTTTCAAACAATCCTGACTTAAATATGCCCTAAGATAGGTTCCGCATGTCAGTATGCAGTGAGGATATCTAAGCTTTCTGAAACATGCTTAATTCATCAGATCTATTCACCCCACCTGTGTTTCCTCGTCCAGATCCTTGAAGAAGTATGTCACGACCTTGACGTTTTTAATGACCTTGGACAGCTCGGGGGGCAGCTTGCCGGCGGTTCGCTCCTCCTTCCCTCCCGGCGAACCCGTGCCGATCCTGCCGAAAGGCCTGCCCGTGGCGTCCTGTAAGACGCCGTTGTTGGCCGTGGGTTTGCCGTACAGATCGATGTCGGGGTCCCACGTGTGACTGTGCTCCTCCGCCCCCTCCTCGTCCTCCCCCGGCTGATGCAAACGCAGGATCCGCGGCAACACCCGAATAAAAACAAACCGGATCCATCCAGGCATTTTGTGGGTGCTGGCCGTGCGATGGTGCACGTTCAGAATCAGCACCGTGGCAACCGTTGTCATGGTAACGAAAATCATCGTGAAAATCAGATATTTCCCGATGAGGGGCACGTCCAACGAGGTGGAGGGGATGATATCTGCGATCAGCAGCAGGAACACAGTCATGGCGAGCAGTACAGCCATGTTCAGCCCGATCTTCTCCCCACAGTCGGACGGCAGGTAGAACACCAGGATGGACAGAGAGGACGTCAGGATGCAGGGGATGATCAGATTGATGATGTAGAACAGCGGTTTGCGCTGGATGATGAAGTCGAAGATCACGCGCACTTCCTTCTCGTTAGCCACTTTCCTGCAGGGTGACTTGAGGATATTCCACTCGCCGCTCTCCTTGAAGTCGTCCGTAGTGGCGGTGTCGTAGTCAAGGACGATGTCCAGTTCCTCCGGACTGTATGTCCACGAGCCGAACTTCATGGAGCAGTTCTGCCGGTCAAACGGGAACTGCCGCACGTCGATGGCGCAGTTACTCTGGAAGATGGCCGGCGGGAGCCACTCCACCTTTCCGTCCTCATAAACCAGAACCTTCGTGTACAGGGCAACTTCGTACTGACCGTCTTTGCTGAAAGTAACAACCATTTCTTTGTTAGAGCCGATAAGCACCTTTCGTGTACATAGCGCCTTCACATTGGCGTCTCTTCTACAGTAGATGTAGAATGTCGGAAACATCACTATCCATCATTTATGTCTCGCAAGAGATAAAGAGGATAATTAAGTACTCACTATGTTTTATCTACATCCGTTAACAAAGTCTCCCTCCTTTGGTAGAGTAGCATGTAAGTAAACATATAACTATAGTTACATCTATGAGTGTTCCCTTACTTGTTAAAGAGGACGATGTTTGGATTCCACACGGCCTCGGCGGGGACCCGGATGACAGTCATGTTCTCGTACTCCGCCTTGTTCCACGCCAGGCGGGGGTCGTACCAGCTCTGCCCCAGCCACACGTTCGTCTTCATCGTCTCCTCCTTCTCGTTCTGAAATGCATGGTTGCCCTCATGTGACTTTGAGGTAAGTATGGACCACCATGTTGGGTGGTTAAACTTTGAATATTGCTAAGCTAATTCTAATTTACACCTCCGATTACAGTCACCTAATCATGACGCATGCACATGCAGATTTAAAGGTACAACTGTTCAAGATTAGACTGATCCCCATGGCTGCTCTGACGTCATGTACAAACACACTATTTGAGTGACTACTCCATGCACGTTTTATTAAACACAACAACATATAACATGTGGCACACAATGGCATCTTTCTTCAACCACATATTTACTATATGCTATGCCCGTCCAACAATAATCTGAAAGGCCACTTGACACCTTCCCATGCGCACAGGTCACATAACGAGGGCTAATCCCTTCCGATACCTTTATCTGTTATGTCTTAAACAAGTGTACGCACCAAGCTGATCAACTGAGATATACTCAGGTAAAAATGGACGGTGATCACTTCATCCGGGGACTCCGCAGGTCGGATTGTGGGATTGTACCCCCGCTCCTCAAAGAGCATGCGCACCAGATTCAACTCTGGCGTTGCCCCGTAGACACCTGAGCAAAAAGCAATATGGATGAGAGATCAGCAGGCAGAAAAAGACGCACTTCCAACTAATGTGATTTTCCGTTCAATATGTGGTGAATCTTGTGTTCGTTGGACATTATCCGACATTACTTCATTGTTTAGTCCGTATAATGAACAGACTTGGGATATGCATTAGCAAACAGGCAAAGCATTAGAAGTATCAAAGTAATGAGTATTTGTATGCGGATGTTTGATTCAGGGTGACCCGAAGGTAATATGATCCAATGTGACATGTGTTTAAATGTTTCATATACAATGTATTAAACATGGGCGAGTCTGGAACTGAATCCCGTCGCGGCATGTGTTGCTGTTTATACGAATGTGCAGAATGTGATACTAATAGCGCTGCCATAGCGTGTGACTGTAACTTCATGTTGAATGTAACCCTTGTTTTACCCGCGGCTCCATTTCTCTCGGACATGGCCCTGGTACCATCACATGAACATGACAAATACTGGCGGGAATATCTCCCGTCACCTTTGGGTGTGAGCCAATAGCTGTGTAAATTGAATAAGACCCTCAGTCTGTACCCCAGGTAACCCAGAGAACTTAACTTGCTAAATATAGCCGGAATATGCGGCCGCCAACACGGCCAATGGCCACACTGACCGCCTGTCAGAGCCTGTATGTCACTCCGTTACTAACATTCTTACCGACAGAGCTGTTAACAGTTGTCTCACCATATGAACATCTGTCAGTTTTAGACTATTTTGCCAGCTTGTAAACAGAATATTTAGATATAAATTAGTACGTCCATTGCTCGCTAGGCTGATCATGCATCTATTTTTTGCGTATTTGTTTATCTATGGTATTTTAGAAAGCCTTTTTTTCTAAAAGAAGAAAACTGAATATGGTCTGCTTTTCCATAGCTCGTGATCCGGCAAGCCCCACTTGTCCTCCCGTCACCAGACATAATGATCAAAAACACTTTCAATATTGATGAATTTCTAAGAAAATGTAGTGCGAGTACCCGTTGTCCTGGTCCTTACCGGGTAGTCTACAGGCTATCGTCCACAGCAGGAACACAACAGCGCTGATCTCCATGTCGTCTTCAGGACAAACTACACACAAATGACTCCCCACACCGGCAGTGACGATCCTGACGCTAACTCCAGCGGAGACTGGTGACAGTGGCCGGGCTGCTACAGACGAGCCTTGTGCTAACACTAACACTAAGCCGATTGGTGACAGTGGCTCAGTGACGAGCCTGATGCCAACTCTGGAGCGGATTGGTGACAGTGGCTGACCTTGTTACCCTAGCGGTATTCATTACCCTGACAGTAACCAGAGATGGTCCACTCATACAGGCACTGCCACTGGGTGGTCACGTTACTCTCGACGGCAGGATTCTAAGGAATCATATTGGACATATTGTGGTAAAATCTTTATTTTTCTTTCAGTTCGTCGTTATGTTGCTTTCGTTATGGAACTCGATAAGGATGAGCAATAATACAATACGTAATCACAATCTTTCTGTATCATGGTTTTAAAAGCAATAAATCAAGGCTTTGAAATACTATCATATCCTGATAGAAATCCAGCACACTGTGTCTACCTACAAATCCAGAACTAGAATTTTAAAAACCCTATATAAACTTACAGACCAGTTCTGAAAATATCTGAATTCAAACTGCTTTACCACGCCTTTTGTGTTAAGTGGTGGTTGCACGTAGTGTCTAGTATTTCATGTATTACCGGTTTAGTAACACGTAGCAATGGTATCTCAGGTATGAGAGCTTTCCACTATCCTGACAGGAACATGGGTTGGAAGAACATCGCCAGAGTGACGAGCACACAGACGGCGAGAAACAAATACAAACACAGTTTGTCGATGACTCGGGCGACGAACTGCCACTCATCGTTCACCTGAAAGGAAAACAAATGTTAGTTAGAGATACCCGTGTCGACAGCATGGAGGCTTTCAACACTTCATGTGTATAGACGTATCATAGTTGTCTTTGAACTCGCCACCATTGTGTATCTTTTTTTTTTTAGTTTTCATGCTACAACACAGGTACATGCTATTAACCATGTCGAACTTAAAACGTGATATCTATTTCAATGAAGGAATTCTAACCTCCGAATCATCATCCGTAGACTTGAAGAAGTCAGCAATAACTTTCACGTTCTTCACAGCCTTGCCGATTTCCGGTCCCAATCTGCGGGAGGACCCGGGTTCCTCTCTCGAGCAGGACAGGGCATCAGAAGACCCGATAACCCGGTCCGTGGAGACATAAGGTGGCCCGTTCATATTTTTGTCCACCGACGTAGCTTCCTTGTCTTCCTCCTCCTTCTCCATCCTGAGCAGCTTAGGAAGAACTTCCATGAAGATGAAGCGGATCCACTCGGGCATCTCGTGCGTACTACCCGTGCGGTGATGCACGTTTAACACCATGGTGGTGGCCACCGTCGTCATGGTAACAAAAATCATCGTAAAAATCAGATATTTCCCGATGAGGGGCACGGCCAGTGAGGTGGAGGGGATGATATCGGCGATCAGCAGCAGGAACACAGTCATGGCCAGCAGTACAGCCATGTTCAGTCCGATCTTCTCCCCACAGTCAGACGGCAGGTAGAACACCAGGATGGACAGAGAGGACGTCAGGATGCAGGGGATGATCAGGTTGATGATGTAGAACAGCGGTTTCCGCTGGATGATGAAGTCGAAGAAGACATGCACCTGGTTTCCTGTCACGACCCGCCTGGCGGGAGACTCCACGATGTCCCACTCTCCGCTCGGTTTGAAGTCGTCCATTGTCGCCGTGTCCACCACCAGCCTCAGGTCCACCTCCCGAGAGTCGTACGTCCACGAGCCGAACTTCATGGAGCAGTTCTGCCGGTCAAACGGGAACTGAACCACGTCTATCGAGCACGCACTCTGGAAGATGGCGGGAGGCAGCCAAGACACCTGCCCATTGGAGCTGATCAGGACTTTAGTAGCCAAGGCAACACCGTATTGGCCGTCTTTACTGTAGACAGAAAATAACGACAACATCGTACTAACCATGTTTACGGTAACCAGAGAACAACCAGGCAACATCTCACTTGCGGTTATAAGCAAAAAATAGCAAGGCAACCTCGTATGGCCATCTTTACTGCAGCCAGAAAACAAAAAGGCATCATCTTATTAACTGTAACCAGAAAAGAACAAGCCAACATCGCAGTGGCCATTTGCACTGCATGCAGAAAATGATTACAAAATGACATATCTATAAAACAAGCATGCATCAATAAAAAAACAATCAAAAAGGTGTACATGTACGCTCACGTGCAACAAGACCAACAAAAGTGGCAAACGTCATTAGGCGTACTTGTTGAACAAGACTATATCGGGGTTCCAGACTGCTTCAGCAGGAACGCGGATGATTTTCTGGTTGTTGAAGAGTTTGCTGTCCCACGCGAGCCGATGGTCGAACCACGACTGCCCCAGCCACACGTTCGTCTTCATCGCCTCCTCCTTTTCATTCTGCCATGGTAATAAAAGTTATACAAGTAAACTGAAGTCTGGTTATGCTAATCATATGGTCACGTTTCCAAACCGGGGCCCGGCCGAACTGTTTACGTAATGAAGGATAAGCAATTCATATTTTAAAAAAATAAAAGCATAGTGCTCATGATTAGTTTTTCAACTTTTTTGTTGTTTTGTTGTCTTTTATACATTATACATACAGTACAGACCAGACGGTAGTTACGCATGCGGGGTAACTCAGATTTACCACACTGATCAGCTGGGAGATCGTCAAGCTGAAGTTTACGGTTGTGACGTCACCCAGCCTCTTGGACGGCCGGGTCATCGGGTTGTAGCCCTGCTCATCAAAGAGCATGCGCACCAGCCTCTCCTCTGATTCTGCTCCATGGACGCCTGGCAAGGACACGGGTACATTGTCGGTATTTGCTTGTCTGAGTTCGCTGATATGCATAGCAAGTTCTCATTAACTCCCAGAAGCAGTCAGCAGGATTCTCTGGATAACTCAGGAATGGAAGGCCAAGTGAGATTAGAACAACATAACAAATGTTTAGATTCTCAAACTTGAGTCAAAGCAATACGATGTCTTAACTGCTGCCTCTCTGTTATCCAAGAATTGCAACTAATCTGAGATGTTTCGGGGTGTCACCGTAGACTCTGACCAGTACATCAAACCTTTACAGTGTTGGGACTCATGGGAGTCATAAAATCTTAACTGATTTCTTGCAAACGGAAACGGTTGGCTGGGTATTACCAGTAGTTTGAAATATGTGCGCCAAAGTGTGCCGTAATGTATACCATGCATAAACAACCCCGGGGCACCGGGACGCACGGTAAGGCTCATTCCGACAATTTTACCTTCTACAAATAGACCAGAAAAATGCAGCACGTCTACCACCCAAAACGTATAGCAACTGGGGCTGCAATGGAATAAACAGTTGCATTTCCGTCGATCAGACGTATAACGTATTCCACACAGACAACGATGCAGACTGAAATATGAGCTTCCTGCATCAAAGATATGACAGTGATATACTTCATTAACTATGGCCTGCTCCTTTTATAGCATCTTACAGTTGCAGATACAGCCACTGATGCACCAATCATCTGAACAAACGTCAACGTAGAGTCGTCTTGGCTTGTAAATCATAACTTCAAACGGACATTGTCGACACTTACCTAGCTGGACCAGCATGAACAGATAAAGCGCAATCCCCTGCGTGACATGAAGCATATTGTTGAACATACAGGCTGTTGTCTGGGGCAGTGGCGGAGTCTGTTGTACTAAATAGAGCGGCGAATTCCACAAACTTGACCCTGACATATCGGGTTACTCCACTCCCAAGCGAGATGGAGGATGAGCAGCCTGTCATGTCACTGTACATCTCACTTTAAATCAAGTCAATGGCTTGTTTGTTTTGAATTTACTATCTCAATGGTCCGAGGTTCTTGAATGGCAAGTTTTCTTCAGAAATGTCACCAATTTACTTCAGATTATCCTTTAAATATTAAAGTTTCACTTTCTTGCTAATCTACACCATATCAATATGCCAAAAAAACAGTTACTCAAGCAACTGGATATGATTTTGAAAACGTCAGACGTTTCAGCTAGTATCCACTAGCTTTCGTCAGTGACTGAGAGACCAGAGAGGAAAGCAGGTTTATATACACAACCTGTTGATTGATATGCAAATAAAGTGAAGACAAATTTGGAAGTCGAAAAAGGAACAAAAGTCAGACAAGTCAAGACAATATGATGCAAATTAGTCTGAAAGCTCTAATTCTAATTCAGACTAATTTGCATCATCTTGTCTTGACTTGTCTGACTTTTGTTCCTTTTTCGACTTCCAAATTTGTCTTCACTTTATTTGCATATCAATCAACAGGTTGTGTATATAAACCTGCTTTCCTCTCTGGTCTCTCAGTCACTGACGAAAGCTAGTGGATACTAGCTGAAACGTCTGACGTTTTCAAAATCATATCCAGTTGCTTGAGTAACTGTTTTTTTGGCATATCGTATTACCTGGATGTCTAACCTTCATCGACGTACACCATATCAAATCTGCTTTTATTTATTTTATTTTATTTATTGCTCTTAAAAACAGTTGGGTGGTACCTTCAGTCTCTGAAAGACTGATTTCCAAGGTAGCCCAACAGAACATACACAATGGACAACATGGAATACAATAAAATTAAACAAAATAAAACAGATTAATCAAATGATCAATCGTAGCAAATGACAATGAATGATATAAACAGAGGGTACACGTAATCAATCATACAAACACAACGGAACAACCAAAACAAATAGTCAAAATCGTTAGGCATAGTCGTATTGTCAAATAATGACAGTCGGTTGTCCGTGAGGTCAGGGTCAGAGGTCGTATGTTCTTAGCGCTACTTTAAAGGCATTTATTGTTGATGCCTGTTTAGCTACCGTGTTAAGCGAGTTATAGGCTGAAGCTGCTCTGTACTTAAATGTTCTCTGTCCAGTTCTGTTTGTGTATTTGGGTTTACGCAGTAGATTTGCTTGTCTTGTGTTGTGTTGTACTGATGTGTTTGGTGGTTGTAGCTGAAACAGTGTAGCAGGTAATCAGGTGCAAGTCCATGTAGACACTTGTAGACCATTGTACAGGTATGGTGGGTCCTCCTTTCCTCTAGTGGTCTCCAACCCAGTGTCTGGTGTAGTTCGCTTACACTCGAGCGCAGTTCCCTTCTCAGGATTATCCTGGCAGCCCTGTTCTGGAGGAGTTGAAGTTGCTGTTTGGAGGTAACATTGCAACTATCCCAAACCACATCACAATATTCAAGAATGGGTAGAACTAGAGTTTTATACAACAGACATGCAATATCAGTGGTTAAGTACGGCCTTAAACGTCTCAGCAGGCCGAGACGTTGGGCCACTTTGTTACAGGTAGTCTGAATGTGGTCATTGTAACTTAGGTTTGAGTCTAGTACTACACCAAGATATTTGTAGTAGTCAACCTTTTCCAGCTCATTGCCCCCAATACTAATAACTAGTTCAGGGGCTGACCTTGTTCTTACAGGTGTTCCCATTAACATCCACTTGGACTTACTGGCGTTAAGGGTAAGCCGGTTAGTCTTGAACCAGATTGCTATCCGGTCAAGTTTAAAGTTGCTTAAAGTTTTAATAGTAGATTGCTTAATGACCATTTCACTTCGTATATTTTTCAATGAAAAGTCTCAAATGTGTAGGTTTTTTCTTCAGATTTGCGTGTTTAAAGTTTTCATTTTACGGCCGGATCCGGAATGGATTATAGTTCATACAAATATCTTATTGTACGCCCGCAAATGGACAGTTAAAGACAATCAATCTGTTAAAGACAGTTAAAGAGAAACACATCATTTCTGGTTACAATATCGACAGGTTTGTTTCTTGCCACCGCACGAGTTGGGGGCGAGTCAAAAGTGATGAATCACTTTTATGCACATGACAAACTTCAGACGCGTTGCTTGTAATTTTTCCACAATATAATACATCAATATGATAGTCACAAACAAAAGTGTGCGTAGAAAGTGAAGAACCACGGTGGAATATCCTACCCGCTTTGCCTGTCAATATGGTCTTCATGTCGGGAATGCCAGCAAGGTCAATAAATCCACAAAGACGCCTTTCAAAAATGACCTGTTTATAATTATAGCCCCTGTGCTATCGTCTAAAATATTACAGACACGCAGGTAATCTTTGTACATGTTACATATTTATATGTTCTTTCCTTACGAACATGGATATGCTATAGTCACTTACACGATTTCCCAAGTGCGAAGCAGCTGTTGCTACTTAACCTCACGACGGCACACACTTCCTTAACGAGTGATCACAGGCTACCAGACGCAAGATATGCGCATCTCGTACTAGTATTTATCTGCCATGTTAACTTCTTCAGATTTTCTTGTCAAAGTATTTGTTTTATGTACAAATTCAAACTTCATCGCTTCCACTATAACACTGAACTCGGCCATTGTATCAAGGGTACCTTGCGATAACTATCGGTACTGCATATCTGCACTTAGCCTCTGGTAATCATCCAACACCGAGGCAATTTGAATAAAGAGACAGTCATGGGTCTCAAGGGTACGGACGTTAAGTATGTGTCTGTCGGGTTTGTGACGGATCTATGCACTTCACAATATAACAAACTGGTTGAATCATTGTGATTAACATTTCTTACAAGACGATCAGTAGCAGCAAATGAGATTGACAGCAACGGTTGTAACTGTTCTGTGATGCTGGTTATGAATGCCTTTGTCTATACAAGACACTTGTTATATGAATATATGATAATCGATGAAAAACGGCCATGGAACAGCCATCCTTGCGCAATCGCGAATTAGAAATACAGTCCCAAGACCCTGCGTACAGAGCAGTGTGTCAGCGACACGATAGAGGATTCTACGGTATGACAGTCAGGAGTAATTTTTACTTGTATATTCAGAGCTAGAGGTCCATGAACAGCCCCATATGTGTCAGTCATGAACAATCTATAGCTCCTGTCGGCGCTGGCTGTCGCTAGTATCGGAGAGATAGCGGCTGGACCCCCACCCCCACCACCCCGTACAATACAAAGGGAGAATGGCCTCGTAAACAATCTCTCATGCCATGCCTTAATCCCAACAATCCCAAAATCCGTCACGCAATCAGTCGTCATCCCCATAGAAGAGTGGCTCCTTGAACAATCCCAGAGTTCCAAGCACGCAGACGATCAAGAACAGCCACAGGCAGATCCGGTCGATCACCATGGCAACGAAGCGCCACTCGTCGCTGACCTACACGGAACAAAAAGTGGTTTTAGAAACGTTAATCCGTGGATTGTGTGTGATACGAAATCCGTCAATTCAACACAATTCCACTTCAGTGATTCTGGGACAACTATTAAGCTATCAAAAAGATTCGCCACCCCTTCCAACTGAGCCATATCTCCATTGGCCGTTAATAGGAAATATCCACTGTATTTTTGGATGATAGTTACTGTAGTATTAGGTAATATTTACTGTATCATTTTATCTCCCAGGGTAAGAAACGACAACGACATCCCAAACCTCAATACAAACCTCTGAGTCATCGTCTTGACTTTTGAAAAAGTTTGCGATGTACTTCACATGTCTGACTGCATCCTCGAGCTCGGGCGCCAGGTGGCGCCTTTCCGTCTGCTGCATGCTGGGGCTGGACGTGGAGCTCCTCGAGATGGCTCCAAAGCCCCGCCCTCCTTCAGTCATCATCCCGTTCCTCTTCCTCATCTCCAGCGCGTCTTCTCTCGGCTTGTGGTACAGCGATGTTCTGATCGCGCCCTCCTTGGCGTCCACCACCTCCTCAGCAGGCCTCTTGATGCACAGGATCCTGGGCAGGACTTTGATGAAGACGATCCTGATCCACGTGGGCATGTCGTGCGTGCTTGCCGTGCGGTGGTGCACGTTCAGGATGTACACCGTCGTCACCGTGGTGAAAGTCACGAAGATCATGGTGAACATGAGGTACCGACCGATGAGCGGGATGTCCAGAGAAGTGGAGGGGATGATGTCTGCGATCAGCAGCAGGAACACAGTCAGGGCCAGCAGTACGGAGATGCTGAGTGTGATCTTCTCCCCACAGTCGGACGGCAGGTAGAACACCAGCACCGACAGGGACGAGATCAAGATGCAGGGAATTATCAAGTTGATAATATAAAACAGGGGCTTTCGTTTGATAACAAAGTCATAATGAACATAGACTTCGTCCCCCTCCAAGGTCCTCCTGCTGGGAGACTTGATGATGTCCCATTCTCCGTTCAGTTTGAAGTCGTCCATGACAGCTTCTGCATAGTCCAGCACGATGTCCACCTCGTCGCCGTTATAGGTCCAGGAGCCGAACTTCATGGTGCAGTTTTGCTTGTCAAACGGGAAGTGCCGCACGTCTATCGCACAGGAGCTCTGGTAGATGGCGGGAGGGAGCCACTCCACTTTCCCATCGTCGTAGATTAGAACCTTGGTGTAGAGAGCCACGTCATACTGGCCGTCCTTACTGTAAGGAAAAGGGAGGAGGGGACATGCTTAGTTTGATCATCTTCCGGGACGGACCTACTAGAGCTAGTCAGAAATGCTACTTTTTAGGTGCCATGCACTAAATAACTCTGTAACAAGGGAACTGCAGAAAGTGACTGGATAGTCATGTTTTTATTGACAATCACAGATTTGTCTTACAACCTATTTCCTGTCGGTATGACTTACTTGTTAAAGAGAACAATGTCCGGCTTCCAAACGGATTCAGAAGGGACTCTGATGACCTGGACGTGATCGTAATCCTCTTTGTTCCACATCAGTCTGTAGTCCATCCACGTCTGCAACAATGAGAACGCGTCAAGTCTGATGAAATCTTACCTAAATACGGGGTTCGTGCTATAAATGTATCTGCGCCCTGTCAACATGCAATCTGCGCCCTGTCAACATGCAATAGGCACCGCGCTAGGTGTACCTTTACCATAGCAGTAAACAGTACGCATCCGGGCACAGTCTCCAAACGAGCTGCACAATGAGCAATAGGGGAAATCCAACCACAGAAAGCATTTTTTCATACCAAAAGACTCATTTGCTGTACGTTTTAATGATAATGAGTAAACATCTGATACAGTAGTTACGGCTTGTTTTTATTACCGTCTTTTTCAGTCTGCAAAACGAAAAAGTGATAAAGTTCTTACCTGGGCTAGCCACACGTTCGTTTTCATGACTTCCTCTTTTTCATTCTAAAAAAATAAAACGTCGTTCATGATCAGGAGGGTTTGGACGACAACACTGATCCAATGTGACAAGATGCATAATTTGACAAGATTGATTACAAGCTCATATCTGGTAGGGTCGCTATGTCTCTACAGTCAATGTGTTACTATACAATTGACATCCTCACATTGTTTGCTGACTTCCTTACATTTTAGAAGTCAAAGATCGCTGTCTGGTCTTTAGTCACACTTTGCTTATTACTTCCCTCACTGGCAGCTGGTTAGTTCTTATCAACTCATACTAAAACCTTAACCAATAAGACGTCTAATTGTTATCAGAATCTGTCCAAATGAATGTTACACATCCGTACCACGCTGATGAGCTGTGAGATGATGAGGTAGAATTTCACCGTGACGATCTCTGTGGGGAACTGTGCTGGGCGGATCATCGGGTTGTACCGGGAGGAGTTGAACAGACGAGTCACCAGCCGCTCCTCCGACTCAGCACTCAACACAACTGTTAACACAACATATAAACGCATTTGGGGCGGGGAAAGCAAATTGAGAACAGAACACATCGAACACCTGACAGTGTAGGGATGTGTTTATTATATACTTATTATCAACTAGCAGAAGATACTTCAGGCAAAAGATGCGTAACAACGTATATATATAGTAGATTTCATCCCATTGATCTGCCGATTCCATCATAACATTCTCTGGGAGATGTAAGTAACTGTGGTTTTGCAATGGGGCCAAATCTACTAGGACCAAACAATGCACCATGCAAAGAGCCCATCCACCGTGCCTTTATCTTGGTTATATTGTCCACAGGGCAGGGCAAATGTTTCTCCTTCAGCAGTGCAGTTTTCTGTTGGAAGATGTCTCTCCTAGATCAGTGCAGGAAGTTTACTTTCCTGTGTGTGCAGTTCCCTGACACTAGCGCAGATAATTAGCAGTCCTCTCGGGCCCACATCGATGATTTACCGTCCATTAGCTGATAGAACGAGACGTTCGCCCCAACCCGCGCCTTGTAGGAATCTATAATCGAGTTTCCTTATCGTTCCTCGTGTCTGGCTCCATATGTCTCAAGGGGGCTGATGAATGTTTCTCATAATCACTTATCTCTGTTTCAATTACGGCAAAGACTATAATTATACTTTACTTATGGACAACATAATTCTACGAGTACACGTGAAGTTCTGGGGGGGGAGCTCGAGGGACTACAATCATCATACAAATGACATGTGTGTGTTTAAAGCACATCATATATGTATAGCTTCGAGATATAGAAATATATAGAAAGATAGAGAAGGATGGACAAAAATAGGTAGGAAAAGTATTGGGATTGTTTGTATCGTTCCAAATGACCCAAATCTTCTAGCGTCGCAAAGGGCTGGGCAGTGTCAATAATTCCGGGGTGAACCCATCGCTTGTACAGCATTTGATTCTTTACTTTACGCAGCTCTACTCTGTCTGCCACGGCACGGTATTATTGCAGCCTTCCGGGACCAGATCGATCGGAAATACGGAAACAATATCGCAATAAATGCCTGCCTGGTAATGGTGTACCTCGGCCACACCGGCAGTCAACTCTGTCTAACGGTCTGTACTTAATACCTAGCCATCTGGAGATATGGTCCTTTTCGAGCACGAGACTCGAACAACAGAGAAAACTAACAATCCCCTTAATTCGCCCGATGAAGGCATGCATATCTAGAAATAATAATAGAAGTATTTATGTTTGATGTTTGCGTTGGCCATTTATATTTCTAGACTGTTCATTATATTTCGTGACTGTCTAGATGTAGCCAGACAATAAGATAACTATCTTCAACGTAAATACCGTCAATACGGTGGAAAAATCGTTACAAAATCAAGTGTGTTTTTTTCGGCGTAGCCGGTAAAATCTATACCCAATTTACTGCGAGTGTTATACAGCAATAGACGCTACGATGAACGGCCTGGGTACGCTCGTATTGAGAGTCGCGGGACCCCGACTTTGTCAGTATCATGGCTGCCATTATATCCGCGGGAATTTACCACCGCTGTACGGAGGGCCAAGTGTCGCAAAATTACATATATATAAAGACTACTAATTCCTCATATATAAGGATAGATTTTGCACTCACGTATGTATCCAGCTTGACACACACATGTATACACGGTCGCACAAACACATGTATGTCCAACTTTACACACACACACACACATAGTGGATAGGACACACTCGTGTATATCTTTCGCTTTATACATACACATATCATGTTAGGACACACTCATATATGTCTCTCTTATACATACACATATATATAGATGGTAGAACACACTCATGAATGTTTCAGCTTTAGGACAGACCAAGAAGCTTTCATGTCATTGGATACAACTCTTAACAGCTTAACACAGACGAAGATATAATTTTTCAAAGTACATACATAGCTCTTACTAGTCTTACTCTTAGGATCGCACTTGTAAAGAGGAAGTGTCAGCTTGGGCCCCCTGTTTTGTTTTGTTTCAAGGGAATTGTAGAGTTTGAAGAATCGTCCTGACTTTTTGTATACGTTGATAGCACGGTGTTGATAGCCTTAGTGACGGTTGACATAATTTGTAATTTTTCGTGGTAACTTTTCATCTGTATATATACATCGCTAATCACTAAAAACGTTGCTCGCTACCCTTTGTCAAT